CACTGGTGGACAAAATTAAGAGATGGAAGACATTTTCCCAAATATCTCAAAAAATACTGAATATAAATAAATGAAATTTGGTATGGATATAGCTTATTCCATGATAATAAAGTATGCAAAACAAAAATAAAAGTGCCATTCACTGACAAGACCTATAGCCAATAAATCCAATGTAGTCTGAACTTAAGGATAAAAGATGACAATAAAAGTGAGGCTTGTACAGTGTGTGTTGTCTCTAGTATGGTGTATGGTCACCCCTGACAGACAGACATCTTGCACAACGAGTATGCATGCTGTTAATAAGGAAGTTAAGGAGGACTTGTGGAAGACCCTCCCATTCTTCCACCAGAGCAATTTTTAACTCACGAATGGTTCTGGGGGGGGAGGTTGGCGCATCGCAATAGCTCTCCCAAGAGCATCCCGAGCATGTTCAATAGGATTCAGGTCAGGGGATTTGACTGGCCAATCCATTCGTTGAGTATCCTCGCTTTCCAGATACTCATCAACCATGAGAGCCCTATGCGGTCGCTCATTTTCGTCCATAAAAATGAACTCATGGCCAACAGCGCCCCTGAAAAGACGCACATAGGGCTCTAGGATTTCCTGCCTGTACCTCTGGACATTCACGGAACCATTGTTAAGCACATGGAGCGGTGTGCGGGTATCTTGCATGTGCGAATGAATGTGCGAAAATGCTTTCCATCTCTTAATTTTGTCCACCAGTGTATTATTATTATTTTGAAATATTGGGCTAAAAAACACATTTGAAAATTAAGGTAGTTATATATCTTGAGACTGTAATGAAATCAGTAATAAATGTATCAAATGAAAATAAAAAAATTCTATAACTAATTTGTTTAAAAGCAAAATTTTCATTCATTTTCTAAAATCGCGTCAACGCCAGCCAATACATAACATCTCTTTTCCCACAAGTAGTGATCTCATTTTTGACCAATAGAGTGGTACGGCCACTTTGAAATTTAATCGCCCATTCATTATAGATTTGAATCTATAATATGTTTGTTTATGGTGCACGGTTTTTGTATCATTTACGTTGCCTAGCTTTATTGATATATAGCACAACGTATGCGCTTTCTTCAATTGGATAACATTAAAAATTTGGCTCAAAGCACTCATAAAGATCGTTTTAAAATAATTAAAAGCTTTATCACAATTAAAAATGTGATATTTAAGTATTTTCCAATGTTAAAAATACTTCCTTAGTGTAATTACGGAAAGATTTAAAAATCATTGTAATAACTGCCATTTAGATTTCTAAAATTTTTTGAACATGCCATAATCAAACACAATTCTATGTTTTAATGTGAAATATCTAAATAATTTTTTTTCTTTGCATATCTCATTTAAACTTATTTTTGTGTTCGTTAGTTATATTACTCAATTCTGACTATAAACCTTAATCGATTCAAGACGTCACCTCAAAGTAAATTTAGAAGAAAGAAAAAAGCACATATTTATCCAACACGCACTAAACAATCGGCTTAACGCTAATTGAACTTTCTATCAAGTAAAACATCTTTTAATCTTGTAAAATTAAATTTCAGAGATACGTTAAACATTTCTTTTACATAGAGTTCACTCCTGCTGGATAGGTTTTAGTAATCGGAATTTTACGTAGTACAATGTGAAATATTTTAGTGTTACATTAAGTGCCATTGAAAAATATTTTAGTGTCTCTCCGTTTTGGCCACAGATGACGCCGGTGGAAAACAAGGAACGTACACTGTGCCTTAAATTCATTTGGTTTCACTAAGCAGGTCTGCTGGTGCGGCATTAGAAACAATAACAAAAACATACATTTTAGTTCTACTGAATACAAAATATGGCGGCATATACTTTACACCAATTAGTGTAAAAGAACATTTGCACCAAGAACGAAGATTAATGCATGGTGTTTCACTACATCCCTTTGCTACAGAATAGCTTTTGCCATTTTTGGTTAGAAGTAACACGAATTTTTTTTACACTGCTCTTACAGATTTTTTGTGTCTTTGTATACGCATTGCCAGTGTTTTCTATACTAGGTTTTAGATTTGTTTTACCAGAATTTTGAGTGCGTTTTAAGTTCTTCTTTGGAATTTTTATTCCTTTTCTCTTTGTTATCTATAATGTAAAAAAATTTACGTTTCAAAATGCCAAAAATTTTCGTAACTACTTTACACCAAAGTGGGGTAGTGAAACGCCATATATAACTCTAGGATCTAGTGTTTTTCCACACTAATGTTCTTTTACACCACTTGGTGTGAAACAGCCATCACAATTTCTATTACTCAATAACATTAAAATTTATATTTAGAGTATGATAAGGTATACATAAAGGGTCAGTAAAGTTATTTTTATAATGTAATCCAAATTAATAATCATTAATTTAGGATTCATATATACACTAATTCTATGAAAAAAAATTTTAATTTGTAAATTAAACTTCTGCATAGCACGGAGAGACTCTTAAGGGGACATTGAACATCTCGCTGAACAAAAATGCGGCGTGAAGTGACTTTTGCAATAACTGCTACAAAAAATTTAATTTTAATGATAGGTTTCTAAATTTTTTAATATTTATTTGTTAGGTTTTTTTTANAACATTTGCACCAAGAACGAAGATTAATGCATGGTGTTTCACTACATCCCTTTGCTACAGAATAGCTTTTGCCATTTTTGGTTAGAAGTAACACGAATTTTTTTACACTGCTCTTACAGATTTTTTGTGTCTTTGTATACGCATTGCCAGTGTTTTCTATTCTAGGTTTTAGATTTGTTTTACCAGAATTTTGAGTGCGTTTTAAGTTCTTCTTTGGAATTTTTATTCCTTTTCTCTTTGTTATCTATAATGTAAAAAAATTTACGTTTCAAAATGCCAAAAATGTTCGTAACTACTTTACACCAAAGTGGGGTAGTGAAACGCCATATATAACTCTAGGATCTAGTGTTTTTCCACACTAATGTTCTTTTACACCACTTGGTGTGAAACAGCCATCACAATTTCTATTACTCAATAACATTAAAATTTATATTTAGAGTATGATAAGGTATACATAAAGGGTCAGTAAAGTTATTTTTATAATGTAATCCAAATTAATAATCATTAATTTAGGATTCATATATACACTAATTCTATAAAAAAAAATATTAATTTGTAAATTAAACTTCTGCATAGCACGGAGAGACTCTCAAAACAAATTCGAACTAGAGTTAACAAAGCGGAAATGGATAGAAATTATTCATTATAAATTAGATCATACAGTTCTCAACGATTTTAAAAATAAATATAATTAACCTTATTACACAGCTAAAAATATATCTAAGCATTAAGGGGTAAAGTTTTGTTTCTGTTGATGAATATCAGAGTTGAAAATTGCAACACACTCTTGCCAGCCTTTTTCAGATTGTAAACAAATTACTCACGATATTGTGTAGCCTGTCTATGCAAAGAACTCCCTCACCATTCATCTTGAGCGATGGCGGTGACTATAGTTACGAGGTTTAACTATTTTAAGTAGAGGTGTTGGATTAATACTTTGGACAGGTTTTGGCTCGAGTCAGCGAGAGAAAGAGAATCAGGGAAAAGAGAAGCTCCCCTCTTTGAAATGCGCTATTTCTTGTTTTCATGGCCGCAGACGGTCTTAGATTTTGTGGCAAAGGGAATTCTTTCGATAGATAGAGTGTACTTGGCGTTTTTTGAATATTTAAGGCTCACAAAGTGCCTACTTTAGTAGTTTATGAGATGAAAATATTTTTCGTACTGAGTAAAAGCAGAAGAATTTAATGTGAGATTATTCAATTTTAAGCTTTAACCGGAATAAAGTGCTCCGTCACACATTTTTTTAGGTAATTCAGAATCTTATTTAAAGAGAAATTATACAGTAGTTTTTATCATGTACTACTTAGTAGTACGAGAGCGTAACCCTAAATATGTTATCTAATTAATGCAAATGATCTCTTAAGTTACGAAATCAGAAACAAAAATATACTTTCCAGCTGATGCGTGTGTGCAAGTGCTTTTATATTAAATTTATCATTTTTTATTTATTAATTCTTAATTATTATTTATTTAAACTCCTCATGATTACCTGATAAAAATAGGATGAGTGGGAACGACACCTCTCCGCAGAAGTGGGTGGATCAACTTTGACGACTGGTGATGGGGGAACAGTTTTGGCATATGAAGTTAATGGAATAGGTTCCTCATCGATTACTTCGGGAATATCATCAACTAATTCTTCCTGTGATCTGGAAAATAAAAAGATAAAAAAACGTCATCGACTAGTATGAAGAGAGTGTATTCTTTTTTCAGAAAAATGTAATTTTATCGATAGAGATAAAATTACTAAAGCGTAAGATAATGGGATCTCTTACATTTTCTCATTCCACATCTAGATCCAGTTACCCTTCTCGAAACTTTTTTTTCAATTTTAATGATATTGCACAGTAAAAAATTCCGGATAAAATTACCCCCCGGCACTTTAGGAGCATCATCCGTGAAATGTAAATTAACCATAAATATCATACCATAATTTTTACAGTATTATTTATTTTATTAAAGTAATGCAGTGATTTAAAGGGTAATTATTACTGTAAAAGTTACGGTATATCAGATTGGTTGTTCCGTAACATGTTCTGGTAAAAATCGATTTTACGGTAAAAAGTACCGGTACTTTTTGCCGCAGTTATGTCCAGAACTTTTTAAAGTGCGCAAAATGAATCTGGTTCTTCAGGTTACAGTGAATTTCTTTTTCTTTGCTAAATATGAAACGACATTAAAAATTTTACTTCAAAAATTTTAAATTGGGATATTTATCTATATAAATTGCCAAATTATATTGTTATGAAGCACAATTTATACTGAGAAAATAAAAACTTATGCTATATTTAAGCTTATATGTATATAATATGTACACTGAGAGAAAAATAATTTTCAAAACTGCCAGAACCTAGTGAAAATAATTGTGTTTCTGGAACGATGGGAACGCCATAAAACTCAGTATTTCACACTAAAGCACTCTGATAATAATTTCGGTAAAACTAACAATAAAATATGATTTAATACTATGTGATGATATTTGGTAAATATGTTAAAATTCAATAATTTTATTAAAACGTAGTATGAAAACCATTTATTCGTTTAAATTTACTGATCAGTCTTATATATTTCACTTGATGTATGATAGTAGAAACTATAATCTTGAAAATTAGAATTTCAGGTAAACCATTATAATATGAATAGGAAAGTTATAAAATGAATGGTTTAAATACGCTATAATTTGGTTCCTGTTATCATTATTCTGGTTTTTTAACCATATACGTCATTAACATACAGTACGGTAAAATTATCAGAATTTATTTTTCCTTTCATTTCATGATCTGGTTAAAACGAAGATTTTAACCACTAAAACAGCTATAGGCAGAGTATATAATAATAATTTATAGGCTTCAAAATTTTCGGGAAAAAAAAAGCAATTAAAACCTATAAATTCATAGACTGTTAATCATATGTATACTTTTAATTAATGCTTTTCTTTATAGGTAGCTTGAAAATTGGATTTGAAATATTATATTGAATAAATTTGACCCAAGAGTAGACTAAGCAATGTAAATGTAATGCATTGCCCAAACACCCCGTGAGGGTCACATAGATTGAAGCTCCCTAGTTTCGTGGTTAATGGTAGTAGTTTGGTCAACATTGACCACCAGTCACCTGTTCTTCACAGAAAAACTGATACCCTAATTTTAATCCAGATAGAACTCCAGACTCCAATAAATTTAACAAAAAGAGAAAAAAACATTTTTTTTAAATTTCTGGGAAGCATAACACAAAGCGCTTAATAGAATAAATTAACAAAATGCAGTAAAATACTTTTAACTTGGATTTAAACTTTATATTATACAACTTTTGACGCCCGGTGGCTGAGCGGTAGCGCTTCGCGCTGTCATGCCACAGGTCCCTGGTTCGATCCTTAGGGCCGGGCAAGGTAGACTCAGCCTTTCATCTCTTCAGTGGGTCGATAAATGAGTACCAAGCATGCTTGGGAACCACTGGGGGTTCCGCGTTCGGCTGACCACCTGACCGGAACATCTGCTCCTGCACCCCAGAGCCCAAGGTCAAGAAAACTGAGATGGGCACAGTAGGCCTTGGCCCTCTATGGGCTGTCACGCCACTGAGTTTTAGTTTTTAATTATACAACTTTATCTAAGGCATAGCTAAAGAGGCCACTCAGATAAATTTTGGTTCTTCAGTTTGGTATAACTCTTGACGCCAACTCGATTAGTAATGTATTAGTGCCATATACATCCGCATATTGGGCATGTGTAGTATCCAAAAAAATTATCTTTAAGTAATACAAAGGTTGAAATTTCATATATATGGTAGAGCTAAATTTCTAGCAGAATTAAACAATATTAAAATTGTTGTGAAAACAGAACTAAACAATAACGACAAATAGCTAAAAATATCACAAACAAGATTAAAAAAAATTTTAACCTTATCAAAAAAATAAATGATAATAAATCATTGTTTTGATGTTTCGACACACCATTGAGATAAACCTAAAAGGAATGCATTTATTTCCATTTAAAAGCTTTTAAGTATTGACGCAATATTTTGACAGAGTAATTTTCTATTTCCCCTAAGGAACAAAATTAAATGTACTTTAAGAAGGCAAAAAAATTATGCATTATCCTTTCATCCATATTTTTTACTTCTTTCTTCATCTTTTTTGTGCATTTATATTTTCTTTGTCTGGAATTTTTCGTAGCAAAGAGAAAGATGCCTCATAAATTATAATTAATAATACCAAGAATTCCGCCTTGAAGCATTAAACTGATTAAATTGCGGTCCGTTTATAAGAGTACCAATCAATATGTGTATACTTATACTTCCGCTGCTAGACTAAACCTTCCGTTTCATGTCTTTGTTTCGTTTTCGGTTATGGTTTTATAAATTTTAAATTTCAATGTCAGCGGCGTTAACTTTACTTTTTTAATTAATATATTCGGTTAATGTAATTGTATAATATTTAAAATCTCCGAAAAACAATTGTTGTAAGCAATTAAACAAGTATTTAATCCAATTTTTAATATTAACCATTAAGTCTATTGTTTTTCATTTTTAAGCCTATTATTATATATCAATTATGCATTTAATTACATTTATTGATAAACTTAATTTAAGCAAATATGTCATTTCTTTATATCTAATTAATAAATTTATGTTGTAACTGTAATAATATGTGCATTTGAAAACTCAGAAATTAAATTACATCAATTTCAAATATGTTAGTTCTTTTAATCTATTTATTAAGGTATATGTTGTAATCGTAGTTACATATGCATTTAAAAATTTGGCTATAGAGTTACACCAATTTCAAATATGTTATTTCTTTATATTTATTTAATAAGTTACATGTTGAAATCGTATAGAAATACATTACTTCCATGGATTTACATGCTTAACAATTTTATTTAGCCACTTCAAACCCAAGGTAAATAAGACAAAAGACGGTGTACCCTCTACTTAGAAAAATTAACAAGTGTTGGCTAGCCTTTCTGAAGATTGCTTAAAATTTTGTAACGTTAATAAGCAATTTTGTTTCTTAAAATCTTAAACTTTTTCACACCTACATGAAAGGAAATGAAAATATTTTTGCAGTTATAAATACTTCAAAATACACATATTTTTTTATATATTTGATAAAAAAAACTTCTTTATATTTCATAAAAAAAAAGCTTTCACTATGAAGCAATTTTTAGGCCATTAATGGCCATCAGGTCTGAAAAGATTGAAGACACTGTCATTACTTTGAATTGAATTGAAACGACAGTTTTGTTTATTTTTGTGTTAGCATTTATTGTAAGTGGTTCATATTTCAAACTTAAAGAAAATATATTAATTAAATAAATTATAGCTGGAAAAAATAATTTCCATCCCGTAAAAATATTCTGGTGAAAATTACCGTGTATTATATGGTAATGAAATTTATGGTTAAAAAAAATCTGATTAATGGAACCAATATATACGGTATTTTAACCAACCATTTGGATTTATAGGAAATTCAGGTTTTCGATTTTGACCAGACATTTACTAAAAAATATAAAAGAAAAAAAAATTTGACTAAGTATATGGTTTTGGGGCCATGCTCTAAGGTATCATGAAAAAATTACCTAATTTTATCACATACTATAAAATCATATTTTATTGTTAATTTTGCCAAAATCCTTATCAAAGCTTTTCGGTAAAAATTGCCGAGTTTTTTGAGGTACCCATTGACCCAGAAATACGGTTTATTTTATCATTTTCTCGAAGTTTTGAGCGTACATTTTTTCTAAGTGCACGAATCCTGCGATTTATTAGTTTTCTGCGATTTATCATTATTTAAACCGCCAAAAACCTATCAACTATCAGCTTGGCTTAGTTCTAAATATCCCCAAGTGTATTCTAATCTACTGGTAAGAGCAGACGATGTATGATTTTAATATTTAATGTCAATATTTATTCAAAACTTTCTGCATTAGGTAGGGTAAACATGTTGTACAAGTCATGTGTTCTAATTATAAGAATGAAACAAAGTTTCTAGGAACACTTACTTGCTTCCCCGTCCGATTATTTGCCGCAGCGAACTATCGACAGGCACTGGTGTGCTCTGCAAGCTGATCGCTCTTCGATAGACACGAATTCTTGATTTCTCAGTGAGCGGAAGTTGTATTGAACTTGAGCGAAATGGCAGCGGCATCATGGTTTGGGGTGGCAAATTCTTAGATGTGGCGCCTGTGCTAACTGGAATGGATGGAGCAATTTCTACAGGAGGTAAACCTTGCAACTCGATTAGCCGATTGAGCAACTGAATGAGACCTTGCATCTCGGTGCTTATTCTGTTGTCCAAGCCTTGGATTTGTCTGAAAATAGGAAAGGTATGTACGTTTATTAAACAATTTTCGAAAAGTGATGTTTTTTGAACTATAAAAATTATTGCTATTACACTCTACAATGGATAATTACGATAAAAATTAGTACAATAGAACCAAGATTATCCGACGCTTGATCATCCAGTCCTTTGCTTATCCGAAGCGTTTTAAACACTCGTTCAAAGCGTTCGAACACATGTTTTCTAATTATTACTATTGATGTTATTTTGTGCATTCTACATCAGAATGAATTATCTGTATTGTTAAAAATCCCTTACTTAAAAAATAGCTAAAATGTATACATGAAAATGAAGAACCGCTATTATTAAAAATTTCTTAATCGAAAATGACTTTTTTTTTAATTCTGAAGACTAAAATAGGGAGAATGAGAAGCCGCAGTTTGTTAAATATAGTCCCAATAGTCTGGTTAAGAGAGCGGTCCAAAGCTTAAACCCACTCCTTAATGTGAATTTTACTTTTGCGAATTTCACCATATCTCGAGAAATGTTCAAGCAAATTAAAAACCTTTCTAGACAGTTATAAATTCGCTTAAAAGATAATTCCATGCAAAATTTAACTTTTAGTAAATATTTATTACTTTTTATTATTTTATTTAATAAAAGTCGAAAATTTTTTGAATTATAAGGTGTACAGATTTTTACATCGTTTCAAAAAATGCAATTTTAATTGACAAAATACGCACTTTGAGAGCAATCGGTTGAATAAGTTCTTGAAAAATCCAATTATAAAAATATGCCTGTTTTCAAAATTTGACTTCTCACTGACTAATTAGCATATCTAAGGTCACTTTCTTGAACCATTAGGATTGAGTTCTAGAACGTAAAGATCCGATCATTAAATCAAAAGTTATTTAAGGTGGTCCGTTTATTTCTTTGCACACTGTACACCAGAAAGAAGCAAAATTGCTTTTTATTTTGGAGCTCCATGGTTTTCTTTCTAATGGGAAGTCAGCCAACCTTATCATTGTAGGGATTTTATTTTCAAATTATACGACATGGGTTGGGAAATAATTAATTCCTTTGTATACGTCCTTATTAATGTCTCTTTAACATTACAAATCACATGGAAGTTAACAGAATAGTCACTGTTTCATCAAGCTAAATTTTTATTTTATACAGTTCACATTTTTCATTAAAAAAATGATATTTTCCAAGATCAATGAATTACTAAAAATATATAATTTAATATAAATCTAATTCAATGTAAACATAAATTAGCTTAAATTAATATAAATAATATAAATTTAAGCAAAGTTTGTGAAGAATTGGAACTATGCTTGTAGAATGAATTTCATGAATTCATGTCATATTTCATGAAAGCAACAAATTTTTTATTCAAATTTTTAATTTAAATTTCTTAATTTAAGCATTTTGAAGTGAAGAAAACCAGTTTTATACATTGTTTCTGTATGCATTATTATGTATTATTTCTGTATGTATTGTTTTTGTATGTATTATTCTACATTTCTAAACTATTTTATGTATTGTTTCTGGTGAACGACCACCTTATAAAGCCACTTGACTGCTTGAAACTGGTTGTATACTTTAGCTGAGAGAGATAACGTGTCAATGTAAAACGTAGATTCAACTCCCAGAGATAATACTACAATAATTTCTCCATTTTTTCAACATATGAGGGGTTTTCCCTTTCCTGCTCTCCTCAGTTGGTGAACCAGGACTACAAACACGTGATTCTCTCTTGCTCACATAGATAGTAGCACCACATTTGTGTTCATCACAAAAAATACCTTTTATGAAATTTAATCAAGAGTTTTAGGAAATTTAACCATTCATTTCTATCTTTTAAATCAATACTTCAAGTAAATGAGACACCAAAAGCTATTTTACTTAGTTCAACTGTGAAAGAAATGGGAAAAAGTATAATTGCATCTCTGTCATAAGATAACCGAGTTAAAAATGTAGTTTATAAGCATTACGTTTATTAATTGGATTAGTTATTGTAAAGCAAATTGAGACTAATGTTTGATATGATTTTATGTTTCATATAAAATCCTATGAGTTTCTTCGTAAATTTATAGGATTTTTATAAAACATCTGTTTGTTGAAGTACCCCATTTTTATCCTTTATAGTGGCATTTATCATGCATTATAATCTAATCCTTTCTGCAGGCATTTCGGATTTATTTCTTGTATTGTACTTATTTTGTATCTATTCCTTGTATTGTAATTATTTTGTATTGATTCCTTGTATTGTAGTCATTTTGTATTGTTTCTTTGTATGTATTCCTTGAATTATAACCATTTTGGGTTTTAGTTGCTTCGTATTAATTTTATTGTTTTTACATTAACATAAAAAAAACATTAAAAATAAAAAAAAGCTTGTTAATTATTTTTATTACTTTGAATTTAACAAATATTTTATAATTAAACATAAATTTTGGAACTTTTATTTTGTTTAACATAAAATTAATTGGTAATATTTTCGTATACTTTTAAGAAAATTTCGGAAAAAACTTAGGCAGGAATAATCATAGTAAGAAGTGTGAATTACAACCCATTTAAAATTAGTTTAGTACATTTTTAATGGATCAATACCCAGCTTTATTATAATTTACAGCTGGAAAAATGCCTTCTTAAAAAAGTTAAATGACTTATACATTTGAGATACTTACACATTGATTCTGTTAGCTCTCATTTTAGTTTCAAAGAAATTTACAGCTGCTGTCCGATAAATGCAATCAAGGAACTTTGTAAGACTATTAATATATTAACAACGTATGACTCAAAAATATTGGAAATATATTACAATAATTATCAAATTAGTTATCATTACTTTTTTTCTTAAATAGCACACTAAGAAATCTATTGGCACTAAAAAAATTAAAAAAACAGCAACTCAAGAAACTAAATAATTTTTCTTTCGTAAATTTGGAGGATAAAATTAAATCCTAAAAAAAATAAACTGTGTTTTACTTGGCCAGATCGTCTATTCGAACATCCAGTTTTAAAAGCTCATCAGAAGTCTGATCACACAAAGGATGTTCTGGACTAAGGTCATCAGCTGGTGTGTGGGCGTTACTTGAACTACAGGATAATGGAATGGTCATTGAAGAAGAAGTGGACTTCAGACCACTGGTTGTGGTCAACGGAGCAGAACTCGTTGTCGTCGGCCGGCCATGACTTGATTTGGACAATCTAGAAATATTTTTGCAAGCATCTTCATTGAAATCATGTTATAATAATGAAACATGTATATACTTTATAAATGAAAAAAAAAACGATGTCATAAAGTTTTCCATTCAATATTTACTATTTTATTTGGCAAAAAACATATTTTTAAAGGCATGGAGCTGGTCTCAACAACATGACGGCAATCTATATATTGAACGTGCATCCTTTAAATATCCTAGTACTCTCATATAAATTAATCAGACCAGTTTCAACCCATAGATCATAATATTAAGAAAATAACATTCTATAATGGAAATAATTTCTTTCTTCTTGAAAATGGTTGACAAGCAAAATTTAATTTTAATGATCAATTAAACGTTTCAGTTAATTATGTAAATTGTTTTTTAACTTTTTATTGTAAATATTAATTTCTTCGGATATGATGCCCTTCAGCTTAATAAAAAGCCCATTCAGTTAAAGTATTTATGTTTTAAAATGCATTATTCTAAATACACGCATTTTTTTTTTTTTAAATATTGACTTAAAATATTTTATAGTAATAAAAATTCTCTTCTTTTCTTCGAAAAAAATTTCCTTGAAAAAACAATTTTTAAAAGAGCGTAATAATAAGTGCATAGTTTCAATTTGAAATTAGGAAAAATGCTGATGTGTTAGCATTTTACAAAAACGTCATTGAGATAATTAATGTACTTTTTGTTTGAAATATAATAATATAAAGAACTGAACAAAAATATGTTTAAATAAATTAAGTATGATATTTATTATTGACTAATCTAATTAATAATAGTATAAAAACATGCAAGAACTCAAAAGGCAAGTGCCTAAAAGCTAAGAATAAAACCCTTGACACTAACGCAATATTAGATTATTTTTATAAATAGGCTTGTTTTGTTGGTTATATGGCTTTAAATTTTCAAATAGTTGAGTTTTTACTCATTTCAGAAGGCGGACCTAATGGTAAAAGATGGAGACTTGTTCAAATTAAAAATAACTTCAAAAAACTAATTTGCAATGAATAATTTTAAAACATTTGCACTATTGTAGTATTGCTATAATTAAGGATTGCGAAATGGATATTTAAAAATATATATTATTTCAATAATAACAAGATAACAAATGTAAGTGTAACAAATGTAAGTTCAAGCGCGTTTGCAGCATAAAATTCCTACCAAGTATCAGAATTATCTGAAATCAATTTAAATTTGAATCTTTCATGTGCATTTTAAATTAAAAACACGAGTAAATCCAATCAATTTTTCAAATTACCATAAAACACTGAAAGAATTTATTAGACACACTTTATGGATTTCTTTTGAATAGAAAGAAATCAGTTTTAAACCTCTACACATGTATTTGTTTAAAAATGATTTACAATTGAATAACATTCAATTCTAATTAAAACTAAAACAAAATTCCAATGAAGGAATTAAATTCTCCAAAAGTTTCTTTCACATCCTTTGACATGTGTATTATATTCAATTTTAAACTCTAAGATTAAAGCAAAAAGGTTAGAAATAAAAATGAAATCGTAATAAATATTCTAAGTGAAGTTAGAATCGGATTGAGCTAGATGTCTTTAAAATGAGAATTCCTTAGGGTTTAGTATTTCGAAGGCGATGTAAACAGCAGATATTTTTATTCCTGGTTTTGATCTCAAGAGCGAATCGATTGTCTGAACTCCATTCTGCATTATCTGCATTCTAGAGCTTATTTATTTTCAATGCAATTCAAGTGAGGCAGTATTTGTTTCTTCGAAGTATATAAATTTAGCTGTTGTCATGCATGAAGTTTAAATAAGCATGCAATTCTCAGAAAATATTATATTTTAATTAACATTAGAACTACTAATAAATAGTTACGGAAAGGTCTGGAAAATTTGCAAAATTTTATGCAATGAAATCAAATTAAAATAAAATAAAACAGTATGAATAATAAAATAATCAATAAAATACATAATAAAATAAATAATAAAATTAATAAAACACATAATAAAATAAATAATAAAATTAATAAAATAAAATAAAGAACAATAAAATTAAGATAAAGAAAATAAAAATAAAATCATAATTTGGAAACAATAACACAATTTATTTATTTATTCATGGACTTGAATTAAGGAAACAACCATTCATTTTGCCCGGAAATTGAATTTAAAATAAACGAACTTATATTTATTCATTTATTTGAATTTTTGATGGTTCTTAAATTTTCCTGAAAACTTACTAATATAATCTAAAAGTTTTGTTTATTTTTGATTTTTTTATAAATTTACAATAAAGTTCACTAGTTTAAGCACATCTTGTATTTCTTTGTTAAAACATGAACGTATATCATTTTTTTCAATATTACATATGCAATATTTTTGTAAACCTTTTTAATAATCCTTTTTCGCTTTTTTTAAAGGTATTTTTGTCTACAATAGTTCCGTATCATTTAGCTATTTCATACTGTTCTTAAAAATAATATTTAATCTACCAGTATTTATGAATAAAGCAAAACGGGACTAATTTTAGTCGAAAATAATATTTTGAGTAAATAATCTATTGAAAGATTGTAAAATAATAAATTGAATAAATAATTCCAAGAAATTAAAGCGGCTGTGTATTGATATATTTTAAGAATAAAGATAAAATATCTTTATTCTTATTTTATATGTCTTTATTCATAGGAATAAAGATAAATCTAATAATAATAAAGATTAGATTAGATATTTTATTTTTATTCATAAGAATAAAGATAAAATATCTTTATTCTCATGCCCACACCTGCTTTAAAAAAAGTGGTGATTTAGTAAATAATGTATGGCTTAATGAAAAAAAAATTATTGCAGCGTCCTTAGATTAGATGAAATTGGAGTGTTCTCGGGGAGAAAAAAATATCTGGTGAATTTAACATGCTGTTTGGTGTAGTGATGACATTTCTGTTACAAATAAAAAATAAAAAACATATTTCTTGTAATAAAAACCAAAATGTACGGTATTTAAACCATTCGTTTGGTAATTTTTCCGTTCATGTGATATCAATTTATCGGAAATTCTGATTTTCAAAAATACAATTCTTATTGCCATTGGTAGTAAACTGTAAGAAAATTGTAAGCTTAACCAAATATATGGTTTTTATGCAATGCTCTAAGTTATTATGATAAAACTGAAAATTTTTTATCACATATTACAAAACCAAACTTACTATTAATTTCACTAAAATCATTACTAAAACACTACGGTAAAATTTGCTTAGCTTTTTGGTGTTTCTATTAAGCCAAAAACATTGAAAATTGTACCAAATTCTGGTAATAATAACCATACAGAGATTTAGGAGCGCATTTCTAACCAGTCTGACGAAACTAACTTTTCTGACATCTAACTTTTCGGAAATCGTTTCTTTTTCCGAATATAGACAGCAAAGTTCGATTGGTTTTCATCTTAAGAGATAAGTAGAGATATTCTTCCCTTCTTTCTTTGTTATAAATAAAAAAATTTATATAGAATTCAAATGTTTTCAAAATAAACTTTTAATACAAAATATATTCCAAAGCTGCACCGACAATATTTTTGTCACTTGATCATCAAAATAAAATTTCCTATCAGACATATATTTAGAAATTGAAAATTTGACTGAAGTAGAACACTCCAGCCACATACAATAAATTCACTAAGTTTTTGAAATCACGAGTTGTGTCTTATTTAACATGTTTACTGTAGTTTAATTTTCTAAAAGAAATGTTTAAAATACTGATAAAATTTATTATTAAATAAAGAATAAAAATGTCATAGGATAATTATGAGGTTCAACAACCACAAGTATAACAGTTAAACTATTAACAACCGTTAAAAGTAAAGGCCTGTTTTCTTAGGACAGGTCGGCGTTACAAAACGTCAGCTTGAAGCGAACGCTAACCCCTGATCGGTCAATTTATGAGTCAGACAGCATACGTCATCGAACGTTCAGCTTGAACAACGACTGACGTCCGAATTAACTGCAGTTGGATTACAACTTAACGTTAACGACAGAAGCAATGGTGGACAACATTCAACAGAGCATTGAAATCAGCCAAGATTTTGATTTTAACATTAAGCATAGCTTCCTCTTCTTCTTCCTTTAGCTAAGCTATAATGTGTCTTTTCTTGGACAAAGTCATTATTTGTTCTCTAAAGCACTGGTCGACAGTAACAAAATCAATAAAAATTCAAAATAGATATTTGTTTACGTTATTAACGCATGCGCAATGCGAGATGTCTGCGTTGGGCCGACTGCTCACGCTGAGCTAACAAAACAGTATTTTGTTGGCGTCAGCGGTACGTCAACTTCTCGCTGACGCCCAGAGAAGGTGCTTGTCTTAAGAAACCAGGCCTTCAACGGTAAACTTTTCAAAAGTTCAAGAAATTTAGAGCTGTCTTCAAGCCTCTGTGTGTGGAACAGACTCATTCATTAGAATGAAATTATAAGAAGCTACTTTATAGAACGCTAACTAATTAATAAAACTAATAAAATAGTTAAAATTCACCTGGATCTTTGTTTTCCAGAGAGAATGGATTCACCTTTGTCTACTTCATCATCATCATCCACATCACCCTCTGCTGCTGCTTCTTCATTATCCAGCAGAGAGTTTGAAATGGAGGCACTGATTGGACCATCGGCGGAGCTCACAATAAACGCCATTTTTCTTGATGCATGCGAACTAACTGAGCTACTTACAGCAGCTGTAAAATTATTGCTAGTTATAGAAAAACATCTTAACTCTAAACCACTTATAAAAGATGAAATAATGCATGAAGTGAAAATATTTTCGGTTCATATGAATAGTTTAAAGTATGTACAGCCTTGCAAGAAATAAATGGACCTCGCTGAATATCTATTTATCTAATAATTGGATCTTCACGTTCTAGGACTCAAACGTCATAGCTTGAGAGAGTGACCTCAAATATGCTAGTTAACTAGTGCAGAAGATATTTCGAGTTACGAAATCAGACGCAAAAAAGTATTTTCTGTGAATAAACATACCTTTTTTTCGACTGATACGGACTTTTTGCCCCCAAAATATAGGGTTAGACGCAATCTGGGAAATATGGTTCCAATAGTTTGGTGAAGAGAGTGGTCCAAAGTTTGAACCCCTCACTGTTAATGTGTCTGTTTTAACACATCATTGAATTTATGTATTTAAAACCAGTATCCCAACATTCATGAGTCCTAATGCAATTTTTATGTAAATGAAAATTAGATTATGATTGTCTCTAACTTTTTTTAATTTCTTATTTTATTTCAACATTAAGTTGCTTGTTTTATCATAATATGGTACACATAATAAAGTATTATCAAATGTGCTATATGATTCAAATTATTATGTGATTCAAATATGCTGCATTAGATTTTCTCTTTTATTGCAATATTGTCAGTACTATAAGCATTATGTGCCGCACAAACTATTAAAATGAGTCCCCTGTGTTCTGCAATATATTTAAAAGTGGAACACTCATAAGTTATTAATAAAAGTATCTAAACGTTTTTTTTCTTTCAAAAATGTTGATTAAACTCGTCCTTGCATTATTTAATAATTAGTAAATTAGCATTATCTGTGTTCTGATTCACTTATTGTAGTTTCTGGTTTCGTGGACATGAAACCCACCTGCATTGCGTTTGCAACCATATATTACTTTTTGATTCTTGTTCGTTATCTTAAATTAAGTTGAGAATTTCAAAGATAGTTTCGAATAACCCTTTATGTTGAATAATTATTTTCATTACGAATAAATGAATTTTCAATAATTAAAAAAAAAATTGAAATGAAATATTCATCCAAATTAAGTCCCATTTGTGGGTTTGCATGTAGGCGTTTTTAACTGTTCCTCATTAGCTTGAGTCAGCCTTCTTGTAAGTTGGAGCTTATGATAACGGAATTTAATGTAATTGACCGGAGCAAAAACATGGTTTCAGCCAAAATTTTTGAAATTGAGTTTATTATAAATTTAGAATTCCTGCATCCTTAGCTTTCTAAAAATACCTTACTTTTGCTTGCACTCTAATTATTTACACAATTATAACAGTTTTGTGAAAGGTAATGACAGTGGATAGACTAATAATTTTAAGTCCTTAAATGCGTTTACCTCAAAATTTGATTTTTTTCACATTTTACACTACTTTAAATACGATATCTCTTGTCTATATTAATAATTGCCTGCAATTTTTCCTGAGTGTTTATGACTATACGATACATGTTTGAACGACATACTAAGATAAAAAAGTAAAATTTTATTTTTTATACTGGTTTTTTTTGCTAATACAAGTGTGGAAATTTTTAAAAATTTTATTTTTTAACTACTTTGATCACTACTTTGATCATCATTCAGTAGTGTGTGCATTTACATTTAAGATAATAGTTCAATGTAGGAAATTGATATATATCGTTCATAACTGATAATTTTCTAAACGAAATCCTCATAGGATTTTTTGTTTTAGGCGATAGAAATTTTTTTACAGTGTTTAAGCGTATATGCATAAAAATGCCTTAATCTTACCTAAAAATGATCAGGCAAAATATAATGATAATTTTTCTGCCAGTTTCTTTTAAGCTTTTATGCATAATATAAAACTGTTTTTTTTTATATCTTGTATAAATATTTTTAAAAAAAAGTGGTCGAAGCTAGTCGGATGCCTCAAGGGAAAGAAAACTCAAAAATAATTTTAGTTAGGGCATTAGCCTAAACATTAACAAATATTTTGCATCAAAGATAAAGTTAATGACATTCTATCAGTTGAAAATATAATTTCCTCAAAGACTATTTTTCAAAGAAAAAATATTTTTTTTAATATACGATAAAAATACTAAGATAAAAAAATAAGATATAAAAGCACGATCAAAACAAGTTTTATTGTAAGTAATTCCATATTAAAACATTTAAATACTCTCCAGAGTTACATTTTTTGAACAGCTATAAATGATAAAATTAAGTTTTGTTTTTAAATTTTAAGCAGTTAAATTTTATTTAAACTGTATTAAAAAAAACTCTCTGAAAGTGTTTCTAATTCATCCGAAAAAATTCATATTTATTTCATTATCCCGGTACATAAAAAATATGGCTTTACATATTATAAGATAAAAATAATTCCCATCATAAGTACAACTAAAATTTTTTGAAGCTTCTATTTTGGAAGAATTTAAAAAAATCAGATGTAGAATTAAAAAAAACATAAACCTTGTTCAGGAGTTCCGTGCTGAAGAGGTTTTTCCTTGAAGTGCTTCAGAGAAGTGGAAGAACGTGTCAGTGTGGCAGGTCGTGTCCATATTTCGACCCTCAGGTCTTGAGCACTTGTTCTTCTGGAATTAGCAGGAGGACTTTGAGATCTGGAATGAGCTTTAGAATTGTTACTGCTACCCCCAAACATGGCACTTGTTAAGTTCGTTACACTTTCTGCTACGCCTAAAATAAATAAAAATTTGTTTAAAAAATATAAAAGCATTATGACATTTAATTAACATCCAATATTTTAATATTAAGTAAAATTTTATCAATAATTTAATAAATGAAATATAAAATCTAAGATGTATGTATGCCTTAAAATTTGGAAAAAAAATTAAAAATGGAATATTGCAATTAGTCAGCGCCTAATATATTTTTTTATGAAAAAAAAATCACATTTAATCAGTAATTAAATAAATTAAATAAAGTCAAAAATAAGTGTAAAAATAAAAGCTTAAAAAGAAACATGTTTTAAAATGCCATATGACAATTCACTAACATCCAGTATTTGCATGATTAATCGCATTTTATCAATGATTTGATAAATTAAACATTATAAATTCTTAAAAAATAATAGTAAGATGCAAAAAGCATCTTGTAAAAATAGTATTTATGCGTCATGAATATATAATCAAACTTTATGTTTTGTATACTTTCAATTATTATAAATATCTCAACTTTTAATTGAAAATGAGTACTGACATCAACAGAAATATGACACAAAAAAAGAACGATAGAATATTATTAAAGACAAAAAATTTTTTCTGCAACTCATGAAAAATAAAAAAATAAAAATAGTTTGAAAAATTAGAATCACCAAAGGCTAATAAAGTTTATTGCCATTTATCCAAATAAGTAACTAGCAATATATTACTAATTAAAAAAAATAAATAAATTTTACAAATGTTTTAAGCCAATGTAATGTAATGGGGCTGTTTTTTTTCAATATGAAGAGTTTTATAAAAGTGTCTTAATTCCAATTCTAATCTTAATTCTGAATCATAGTGAACAGTGGACGTTTAAAATCTCAAAATAAAACTGATTTATTTGTAATAATTAAACATGCCTATTGATTACAGAAACCTAATCAATTTTGTATGAACTGCACAGATTAAAAGTATTAGTTTCCTTTGAAAATATAAGAAATTTATAATAATATAATACATTTCTAATAGTTTTTATATTGTAATAATATGACTTAATTTAATTGCATAATTGAATGTCATTCAAAATGTCCCATTAAAAACTTTGCCAAAATATTTAATATTTTTCAATTTTTTTGGTCATAAATAAGGTCTAAAACAAATGTTACTTAAAATGAAGTCTCTAATTTAAATTTAAACTGCATTTTATTTTTTTAAAAAAAGGAGTATTTTACAATAAAAATTTTATGAAAATTTAAATTTTATTATTTTTTATGTATATAGACGTATATTTTTAAAAAAATTTCAAGCAAACTTTTTTCTGAGAATTAGATGAGACTAAATTTTTTTTTAAAAATTAAAATTATTGCTTAGTATTTGTAGTGAAAGGAACTCTTTTTATTCAATGTAATTAAGTATATATTTTAACTACTGTCTTCTTAATTTCTTTTTACATTTATATTTGAAGCCTAATACAAACGTTATGCTGCATACCAAAATCGAGGCTTCTATTATAAAAAATTAAAAAAAATCACTTTAGAAATCTACTGTCCGCTTAATCATTTACTAGCCGTAACACTTCCATTAGTTAAAAAAATATGCAAACACAAATAATGATTGGAATAAACTATACCCAATAATTAAAAAGACAAAAAAATGTATACTCATTTTAAGGAATGTCTCACCCATCTAACTACGTAACCAGCTATAAAATAGTTATTGAAAAATAAGTAAATAAAATAGACAATACAAATTGAATACTTAAGGCAATAAAACGCCGTGAGAAATTAAAATCGGGTTTGCTTCTCACAAAAAGCAGCGCGAATTTAAAGTGCTTTAATTCCAGTTTTATTTCCTAATCATAGTTACTGAAATTGAATTTTATCTTTTCAATTTCACAGATAAAATATGAAAACACGAATAGCAAATAGAGAAAACTATGCCCTATAAAAAAGACGAAAATTTATAAATAATATAATTTTAATCATTCACTGTATCTTATGTGTTGCAGAAGTTAATACCCACTGAGCCTATGGAGGATATTCATTCAAAAAAATAATTAATCAAAAAAGACATACAATATTCATATTTGATCCGAAAGTGAATGAACTGAGATTATATATTTTCCTCTTAGGAAAGGGCAATTAATTTGACAATTTTGTAGCAAAATGTATTTAAATTTTGAATTTTAAAATTTAAAATCACTGTTTGAAATATTTATAGACAAAAAAAAGTTGTTTGGATTGTTTAATTTGAGTTTAAAAAAATTACTATTCATCAATAAGGGAATTTTAAGAATATTTTTTTATTTCAATAAGAAAAACTGAATGTTATTTATCGATTTTAAAATTTTTAAAGGATTTAATAATTTAATCCATTGTAACAATTTTTATATTTCATTGATTATTATATTATTATATCAGTGGTTTCTAGATACACTATAAAAAAAAATTCTGGATCAAATTACGGTAAGAAGTACCGACACTCAAGTACTACGACAAGAAGTACTTTTTACAGTAAAATCCTATTTTACTAGAAAATGCTACGAAACAAAACATCTAATAAACCGTAGTTTTTACGGTAATAATTACCTCAAAATCACTCTAATTAAATAGATATTGGTGTAAAAATTGACGGCATAATATTTTACAATGAAATGGATTTCATAGATGTACCCAAAGTGCTGGTAATTTATACAATAATTTGATCCGGAATTTTTTACAGAGTTGAATAATGATGCAGAAGGTTTCAAACTTGTTCATAATTCAATAAAAAATTGTTTATCAATTAATTCAGTTCTTTTACGAATTTTCATTTTTTTTTTACCAGATCATACTTTGATATAATTGCTTTTTAACTGAAAAATTTAAGCATGACTCAATTAAAAATTATCTTTTAATTATTTCAGTTATTATACAATTACTACAACTATCATACAGTTTATCCTAGCTTAATTAACACATAACACTTTTGTAGATTCTCTTTTTAGCTCATAAATTTGATCATAACTCAAATAAAAAGTGTTTCACAATAACTTCAGTTATCATACAATTACTTAAACTATCATACAATTTATCCTAGTTTTATTAACAGATGATTAGTTAGTTATATAACAGATTAGTATGTTACTAACTAATCATCTAGTAACATTAGTTAGTTATATAACCCAGTCAGATATTTTTCATAAATTCACTTTTAGCTGACATTTTATAACAGAAAAACTGCCTACAGTTTAAAAAATAACAGCTTGAAATTCAGTTTCTGTTCTTCACATGCAACTTCTGTTCGAGACAAATTCAGTGAAAGTGTGATTTGAAACGAAACTCACCTAAAAGAGGTATCTCATGCCTTTTTTTTATACATCTCAAAGAAGTTTTTTTTTTTTGGTTTAAAATCGAAGAGAGAAGACAAATAACTGAAATTTGCTTGGCGGAACTAGATTATAAACAAGAATATTTCTGGCAAAAAAAAAATACTGGCACACGGAATTTATATCTAAAACACATTATTTTTACACTTTACAGTATTTTTAATGTACAGTGAGTGAAAAAAATAGCAAGTTAAAATGCAGGTTTTTTTTTCAAAACTAGGGATTCAATGTTTTAAAACGCTTCATGGAAGCTGAGAAGAGGGACATTTTTAAAATTTCGAAAAAGAAGAGTGATACTGATTATGTTAATACAGAGCTTATTTCGAGCTAAGCATTGAAAATATTGTTGATGATATTATTTGAAAGTATGACATGTCGTATATTTAGTTTATTGTCCCCAGCCTTAATTCCTTAAGCCTAAATTTTATTTCGGTTAAATTAGCTAATTTAGTTAATTTATAAGATATGGTCAAGAGTCATTTAAAAGTTAATTTATAAGATATAGATAAGGATCATCAAAATCAAATTTCTCTCCAGGCTAATTTTTTGGTGGAATTAGCTAAAAACAAACTTAATTTATTAGATATGAGAGTCATCCAAATCAAAAGTCTTATAAGGCAAAATATGAAATATGAGCGTATCAATATTTTTCTCCAATATAATGATGGAAAAAAAATCACCCTAATTTACAAAGAAAGTGACACTCTCAAATTAACTGAATATTTTTTCGAGTTAGTTTTTCCGGTTTTAAAATAATACGTATAATTTTTTGGACTATTTCGTTTCGTTTTGTAGAGATATAATAATTGAAAATAATAAAAATATTATAATAATAAGAAAATAAAAAATAATATAACTATAAAAATAATTTAGTAATGAAAAATGATAATAAAAAATAATTTAACCATAAAAATAATTTAATAATAAAAAAATTATAATAAAAAATAATATAATAACAAATATAATTTAATAATCAAAAATGAAAAAAAAATCACAGAAATTTTGTCAAATGCACGACAACAAGTTCAATTGGAAGAATTATGTTGAATTTTTTTATTTTATTATGAAGCGTAAATGCTGCTTAAACAAAACGGAAATGCATTTTATACTATTTCTCATTAGAGTTGAAAAGCAGCCAATAAATAGCTGTCTTCAAGAATAGTTTCAATTCATTATTCAAAACGATAAAATTTTATTTCAAATTTTTATATTTCTTTTATTTGTAATCTTTTAAAATGCAAATATAGGGAAAAAAAGTTAATTAAAGCAACAATTTTCAGTACACAAAAGTTCTTCATTTGCGGTTAATGATAACTTTCAGACTTCAAAATTGTAATCTTTAATTTTTAATTATTTAAAAATTACTTTGTGAAAAGGAAATTAAATTTTCAATAAGATTTACGAATGTAAAAAAAATCGTCTCTAAAAACATCAGCCCGATTTGCGAAAGATGCTTCAAGTACCTTCCTCGGTGGAAGCAAAATCTAGTCAAACAAATGTATTTTTATATAGGAAATGTTTATTTCTTAAGATTTTGCGCAGCGATCAATAATGATACGTAGGCAATGCACAAGAAAGAATTTAAATCTACTGTAACGCAATGTCTTTTAAAAATGATAAACGAGAAAAACGAAAAAGTTTCCGGTTTTTCGGAACCTTTGCTGCAATGTTTCATCACAGAGCATTTTTACAGGAAATGTTTTAAAAAAAAAACAAATTTATTAGCATATTGGATTGTTCAGAAAGTAATTTCGCTTTTTTATGAAAATGAAAGGCGGTTTTCTATGGTGAATGACTGTTTTATTAAATCATATAGTGCCAGTTTTGGTTCAATCATCTTTCCGGTAGTAGCATGATTTCATGTGCATAAAATTTTCGTTCCTTTTTTTGGAAAAACCTTACTCCTCTTTTTGGCCAAGAGATGTTAGATCTCCTTATTTGAAGTAAAGGTTTTACCATCTGAAAAAGTTTGTAGGGACCGAAACATTGTGGTAGAAAACACACAATTTTTTCCCCACCGGTGACCGTTTCAAAACGGGATAATTTTTATGGCGCATGAGAAGCAATTCACAGACGTCAGCACATATTTCTTTCCCTAATAATATAAACTCATTCGTCAAGTTTTGTGATTAAATCTTTTGAATTTTCAAATGGTCATGAATAGTTGAATTCGATAACTTTAATATCTCAGCGATTTCACTAGTTGTTATTTACCACTTTGCAACAATTAATGCTTTTATAGATCTTCGTTAGCGAAAACTAACGTTGTGCATCTCCGTGCAAATCAGAAATTTTGCCGGATAAAACGTTTGAAAACCAATTTCGTCACGTACTGCCAATACATCTTCTCCATACACATAAGATCGTTTTTTTTTCTTGCTTGGACAGTATTTTTCCCATTTCAATAATAAAGAAAAATAAAATATACTGAAAATTCTTCTTTGACTATCCAAAAAAACGCACCAACCAAAAACTACTGCTTATCGATCGAACTTTTCAATTAGCAAGCATTGCTGCATCATCTTTTAAAATATGTAATAATTATGCCACTTAGGTGGAAAATTGACAGAGAAACATTATAATTAAGTCTTCGACTAAGAAAAAAACGAACGTATTTTCCGAACAACTCAATATCTTTAGCAATCAAATTTTCAAACCAATACATATCAACAAAAAAAATTAGTTAAAAAAGTTCAAAATTTAAGTTCGTCAGAAATATGTCTCACATCTTATTCCAGTTTAAAGTGTTCTAAAGTAATTTTTAAAACATTTAACTGATTAAAAAAATAGTTATTTGAAAATTTTATAATATGCCTATTTTAAGTCAAATGAGGTTATGTATTTCAGAGAAAATATTAAGACATGAAAACATGCTACACTGTAAAGCCAATGCCTTGAAAATTTCTATAATCGCTAGATAGCAATCTGTGACTAAAAGAAAAAACTTCCAGTTGCTGATCGTAAAAATAAAACTATGCCTGTTAAGCTACAATGACCATAAAAAAATTCTTTTCGTAAATTATATAGCCACTGACCATAAATTAAAATTACGTTCACAAAAATATTCCGTGATTTGAGCTTTGGTATTGTTTGAGACTCAAGCGATTTGTTTGTCGAATCATGGCAAATCATGTAACGAATCAAATAAGTGTGGTGCTGCGATCTGTCAAAGAGTTAGAGAGTCCAGAGTTGTTGCCCAGGATCTCCAATAAGGAGAGAGTGAAGGAGATTAATTCTTTGGCTCCGGCTGGATTCGAACCTGGGAACTTTGGCTCCATTGTCAGATCATGTAACCACCATGGAAAATTGTGTACTGAACCTCAACCGAGAGATTTAAGAAGTTTTATTCCACGCGACTTTTTTTCTCAAAGAAGAAAACTTGCCGTATGAATCAGCGTTTAGCTCTACTAGTTTCGCCAAAGTCAATTACATTTACGATCTCTGGGCTTTTTTCTTAATGAAGAGAACGGGCCATATAAATTACCGATTTACTCTACCAATAAATTTTGCTTAATTTCCTTGCATTTATTGGCACTGACCATTTTCTCCAAGAAATAAGCTAACCTTAGAAATAAACGGTTAACTCTCCAAATTTTGCGTAAATTTATTAGAGGGTATTTATATTGTATTTTATGGAGATTAAGAAAAAATTCATCAAAGTACATTTTGGAAAACTAGTTAATTTACAATATAATATTAACGGGATTACTGTTTTATATATGTTTACATATAATAATATGAAATATAGGTATAGAGAGGCCATAAAACGTTATCTCAAAGTATTTTTCCACTTATTCTTGTATCAGAAACTACGAGAATAAATCAATAAATAAAAAACAAAACTACCTGTATTCAAAATTATTTCTTATTCTATTTCAAACATTGATCTTTACCTTCTTTTCTTGTCTACTTTAATCGCAATTCAAAACTTTTAATAGAAAATCAGACATTTGAAGTTTCAAGCAATTATTTTATTATTCATATTCTTAAAATCCCTGCACTACCAAATAATGAATTATAAATTTAGCATTCAAATAATTTGTAAAATTAGAAAAAATTAACATTTATAAAAAGCTAATTGAATTTAACTTTATTCTTGTGGGAAACGAAAATAGATTTTTAAATTATCATTTTGTTCTAAAATTATGGTGTTTTAAACAAATTACACAATGAAATTATAAGTCACTTAAGATTTTCGAAACATTTAACGTTGTGAAACTATACAATAACTAAAACAAAGAACTTTTTTTTGCACTTGTAAACAAAAGATGTGAAGCTCACTGTTTAGTGACTTGGCATTAATATTATTAAATTTAATTTTTTTCGTAACGACACTCATTGACAAAATTTTAGATAAAAGGAAAGCTAAAGAAATAAAAAGGCTAAACTTTATTACTTATTTTCTAGCTAATAAAGCAGAAAAAGAATTTGATTGCAAGAAATACTTTTTGCTTGTGCGATTGTAGCTGCATAAACAAAAGCAAAAATATAATTTTCAAGCTCCTATATATTTGTCAAAATTTATTAGATATCTAACATTCGAATATTTTTGTCATTAATTCACCCAAGAGTAAGGGAGATAAAAAGCTAATTATAATTGTTTATTAAAAAAAAAATTTATTGGCTCATTTTTTATAAGGATTTTGAAAATAGATTTCGACACAAATGTTTTATTTCAGTTAAAAATTTCAAATAATTTTAGTGTACAAGAGGTAAGCCTACATTGCGTTTTAACTTTTATAGGAATAAAAAAAGTGAAAAGGGACTTTTTCGCTTAAAAAGTGACTATTAAATTTCAAATTATTTTGAAAAAGGAAAAATAAATGAAGTGAATTAGGGATGAACAGTATACTACTTCATGAAAAAAATAAGCATAAATATTGATAGTCTTTTTTTCTCGTATCAATAAATATAAATAAATGGCAGTACATAATAATGCGTAAAAAAGATTTTTTTCTTACAATTTCGCATCTCAAAAACTACTCCATATATTAAATTTTTAAAATTTCAAAATTAAAAATGATGTAATTTATTTTTGTATCTAACATATTAAAATTTTATTTAAAAAAGATTAAAAATAAAAATATAAGAAATAATTCTGAAAAAAGATTGCTTTAAAATCTTTTAGGTAAATTATATGGGCATTAAAAATGGATGTATAGATATTCTGATTTCAAACATATTCCGAACTTAATTTCTAACCAGTGTAAATTTAATATAATTACTGGACATGGAGCTTCTCAGAATATGTTTATTTTCTTATCTATTTTCTAAATTCTGACAGTAACAATTAAACAGTATCAGTAACAGTAGCATTTAAATATATTCCTAGCCCAACTTTTTGACCAGTGTAAATTTAACATAGTTACCAGAAATGGAACTTCTCAGACTATGTTTATTTCCGATCTATTTTCAAAATTCTATCAGTAACAATTAATTTCATATATTCCTGACCCAAATTTTTGACCAATGTAAATTTAATATAGTCAGAAAAAATGGAACTTGTCAGACTATGTTGCTTGATCTATCTATTTGTAAAATTCTGACAGTCACAATTAATTTTTATACCTAGCCCAATTTTCTGAGCAGTGTAAATTTAATGTAGGTACCAGAAATGGAGCTTCTCAAACTATGTTTCTTTTCCTATCTATTGTCAAAATTCTGACAGTTAACAATTAATTCCAGATATATACCTAGCCCAACTTTTCGAGCAGTGTAAATTTAATATAGTTATCACAAATGGAGCGTCTCAAACTATGTTTATTTTCCTATCTATTGTCAAAATTCTGACAGTTATCAATTAATTCCAGATATATACCTAGCCCAACTTTTTGACCAGTGCAAATTTAATATAGTTACCAGAAATGGAACTTCTCAAACTATGTTTCTTTTCCTATCTATTGTCAAAATTCTGACAGTTAACAATTAATTCCAGATATATACCTAGCCCAAATTTTTGACCCGTGTAAATTTAATGTAGTTACCAGAAATGGAGCTTCTCAGACTATGTTTCTTTTCCTCTCTGTTTTCAAAATTCTGACAGTTAACAATTAATTCCAGATATATACCTAGCCCAACTTTTTGACCGGTGTAAAATTTTATATAGTTACCACAAATGGAGCTTCTCAAACTTTGTTTCTTTTCCTCTCTATTTTCAAAATTCTGACAGTTAACAATTAATTACAAGTATATACATAGCCCAAATTTTTGATCCGTGTAAATTTAATGCAATTACCAGAAATGGAGCTTCTCAGACTATGTTTCTTTTCCTCTCTGTTTTCAAAATTCAAATTTGCGGGTGTGACATCTTGTCCTGCTTTGTCTGGACTGAATTCGATTGTGCCATAACCACTGAATCGTTGACGGTCATCCTCGTCATCGCTAAAACCTGCAATTCCTTCACCGAGATAGGATTGACGAGTGGCTCGTTTTCTTCTCGGTCTAGGATACTGATAGGCATAAGTGCGTGGATCTTCTGGAACAAAATTTATGTCTTTTAATCTGAACAAAGCTATCCATCTTTACAAAGATAAAACCTATATCTATTGATAATTTCTGTAATATTTTTTGGAACTTTTAAAACATATTAAAAAAAAAACATGAGAAAAGCTGCCTGGCTTGAAGTAACGGTTCGTAATTTTTTTTTCGATTAGGGAACCCTAAATGATGGACTTTCTTTTGGCGGAACCCCTGAGATTTAATGAATAAATTTCAATAGCAAATATGAGCATATTAACTAGTAAAAGGCTATTATTTATTTTCAAAATATTTGCGGGTTGAAATTTTATTAATTATTTTGAAAATATTTAATAAATGCGTGAAGAATGAAATTTTTACATCGTATCGGTTTATCAATGTTAGTGTTAAAATTGGGCTATAAATCAGACAGTTGAATTTACAGTTCTGGAGTGTAAACAGCTCAAGAGTGTAGACCAACACACACACAAGTGTCTGTTGATATAGCTCATTATTTCATTTTAGTGTATACATAAACTGGAAATTAAGAGCTGAAATATGGTTTTAGTTGAAATAAAGACAACAAAATAAAATATGGTAAATATTAAAGTAAGGAGAAACATCACAGAAACATACTTCTTTATTTTTGAGTTTGGTTAATTTTATTCAATGCTAAATACTAAGGAAATTTTTCGTAAGTGCATAACTTCTTTGTTCATTCAACATATTGTCATTAGAAAATATTTTTTTTTCCAATTTAGCTTTTTTTTCCACCAGGATTTTAATTAAATGATTTCATAAAATAACGGTGATTTTAAAAAAATAGATTTTTAATTAAATATAAAATTTATAACAAGTTTCTGAAAGCGTAGCTGATTAAAAAGTGTTCAAACTCTTGGAATCCCTGTCATGGGTGAAAGCCCTTATATAGCAAGACGGAAAAGAGAAAAACCTGGTACGTAAAACATTTCATTCCAGCATTTTTTTCGAAAAAAATGAAATATCTGTAACTATCAAGATTTCTTTTATAATTCTGGCATATATATGAAACTGCTTCTTTTCCAAGATAAAGTAGATATTGTTGAAAAATTTAAAAAAAGAATAAGTAAACTCCTCTCCAAAACTAGCTATAACTGAAATGGTTTTACTACCAGCCTTTCCTCTTTTCCGTCTCGCTTTCACCCCTGATCCCTGTGAACACCATTTGAGAACCACTAGTTTAAGTCAATTGCAAGTTTACTTCAATTTAATTGATTCTTTTCATTAATTTGAAATAATTACTGATTCAAAGGATATATTAATGCAAATTATGCACTCTTATAAGAAAATTTCAAGGCAACTGGAATATATGAAGAATTATGTCCATTGCTCTGCTTTATATATTAAAACAAATCAATTGTTCTAGGAAAAATACTATAAGTTTTAAAACGCTTTGTTAATTGCTTATAATTCTGTATTGGATTTAAATTTCACTTTGAACACAAATGAAAAATTAAATACAAGTGAGATAATTACTATATTAAAGTGCGATGATTTATCATTTTAATCATACTCTTTATTTAATCATTTCTTCAATTTTTTAAAAAAATAAATTAAAAATAAAATGGCTATAAAATAAACACAAAGATAGTTATGTTTTTAATTTTCATGTTTTTAAAATAACATATATCCAATTTCCATAATTGTTCGATAGAAATTCAAGTCTGGCAGTTATTTTAAATTATAATATCCAAGGCTTTCAAAATATTTCTGTGAATATTTTGAAAATATACGCTCAAATAGCAATACTGAATTCTAAATATTTGAAATGAGTAAATGCATTCAAAATATTCTATTTCAGACAATATACCAGAAATTATTCCCAGTCTTAACTGTCGAAATGTAAATTATTAGCAATGATTGACTCGTTTCACGTTTATTGAACAGCATTTTTGAACTATTGAAATGAATAAATATGTTTAAAAAATACCGAAAGTTATATTTAATTGATTATAAAAGTAACTACAAATAACTGTGAAATGTTTAAATACAAATTAAAAGTTTCAATGCACTTTAAAATGAATAATTTTATTTTTTGAAAAATAATTAACATTTTCTTTGTTTTCTATACATTTAGAAATGATTTTGTTTTTTATGTAGTACTATTGAAACAAATAAGGCTAAAAGAAAATATTTAATTATGACGAATAATTTTAAATCATACGTATTAAAATAAATTAACATAATTAAATTTTTTTATATTTTACTATACATCAATATTATAGCAAAAAATTGAATGCCATCGAACTTTTCTGATATGTGTTTTTATATTTCTGTTTTTACAAAAATTAAATTTTACAAATTACTTTATTTTAAAATAGATGCTTATAGTTCAAAGCATGTTTAAATGGGTTTTTAAATCAGTAAGCAACGCAAAAGTAAGACAACTATTTCTTTAACGATTATTCGTTATGAAAAAAAAAATTATACAGTAAAGATTCATGGCATTTTACAGCGCTTATGCTCTTTAATACACTCCGTACGAGTATTATTATTTAACTTCGTTTTATAAAGTGATGTCTTTATTGGAGTCATATGGTGTAAACATCATCATCCGGTGTTGTTCTAAAAAAATTGTAAATGCAGTAATGAATGAATGAGTAAATTAACGATTGAGGGGAAAAACTCAACAGATTACTGAAAGAAAGGAGGAGAAACTAAATGAATGAGAAAAATTATTTAATTAATTGGTAAAAGGATTAAATAAAAATTTTAAAGAAAACTATAATTTGTGAAAGGACTATCGAAGACCTTTTATTTCTCATCCCCTCTATTATTTATAAGAAAGTAATAAGCTGTTTACCATCTTCCGAAATACTAGCTGGCCTGTAGCTCTGCTTGCACCTAAATAGATCTGGATCGACACCAGCTTGATCTTCCTAAATACAAGTAGAGAAATATTGTCATATCATATGTATTATATCATATACACAGTCCAGTTATAATGTTACTACGTGCAAAGCCCTGAATAATCACTTTTCACTGAGAGAACTGCTGCGAAACATGCAAAACGAGAGTAAAATAGATTCTTGAGGATGTTCACTGTATGTTGAGCAATACCGACTCCAGTGCCGTAGCCATCTACGCACTACCCTACGAGCTTTATAACACGACGCATTGTCCTGCTGGTACACGCCATAGGAAAACAATTCACATGTTGGGGTGGACAGATTCGTACTTTTGTTGATCCACCGTGGTTTCCATAATGAAGACTACACCCCGAGAATGCCACAAAACATTTCCCAGATTACCTCCCTTCTTCAGCTTGGAAAATCTCGAAAACTGATGCAGGTGCAGGGTGTTTGCTTTCAGACGTTTCACGCCATATACACAAACGCCCAGGTGAGCACAAAATATGATTCATAGGGAGAAACCACCTGTCGCTACTTAGTGGATGTCCAGTTGCTGGACTGGCGTACAATTTCCAGCCTTCGTCACCAATGAACAGTAATCAGCATATGTGCATTAAACATGTGTTTACTGCTGAAGCGCCTATACGCAGCTACGACTTCTGAACTACCATTGAGAGGACACTGTTGGTAGACACTTTGAGAAGACACCCTTGGTTAATGTAGGTGATCAGTTATTCATCGATTGCACGTCTATTCACCCGAAAGCATTCCCGCAGTCATCGTTCACAAGGTATACTCTTGCCTTATCACATCTTAAGGGATACTCTAGCCACAAAGGTAGGCGAACACTTGACAAAATTAACCGTTTCGAAAATGCTTCCACCTTTAGCAGAAAAACCAATGCCAGTTCCCCTTTGGACGTCGGATAAATCAGACTGTTTCTGCATTGCGCCAATGATTGCAATTTTTTCCGATTCCCCCGGTCACTTTTTATATCGGCTTTACTACAACGTTCTGCTTTCTGTGATATTTAAAAAGAGTTCATTATTTGTCTTATACTAGTTCATTATAGTTAACAAAAGGCTAAAATTGTTATTGAGCAGCGAAAAAACAATTTCATATTATTCTGTTTCGTACGTTTTAGTTTTGTACATGATTACGTACAGTATCTTAACTATAACAAGTACTGGCTGCATCTTCCGTAATCATTCAATCATTATTCAATCGTAATAAATTCATTTAATCGTAAAATCCATTTTTATCGTAAAATATTATACCGTAAAATATTATACCGTAAATTTTACTATAATATTTATTTAATTAGAGTAACTCAGTGATTTAGCGGTAATTACTGTAAAAATTACGTTAAATCAAATTTTTTGTTCTGTAACATGTTTCGAAAAAAATGGATTTCACGGTGCTTTTTACTGTAATTTGATTTGTAATTAATACAGTGTATCTTTTTTTTTTTTTAGTGGCGGGCTCTTGGGATTTGTCCCATTGACCACAGAAAAGCCAGAAATGCTACTCTCTTCCAGTTACCCAGTGGGCACCGATGGCAAAGCCACGGCGGTGGAGCAGCGTTACCCACGTCACACAACCACAAACCCGTTTATAGGGCGGGTCACATTCACGCACAAAAAAGAAAGGACATAGAACACAGAGAAAGAAATAAACATCCATGCCCTGAGCAGGATTCGAACCCGCGGCCAATGGCACAGTGTATCTATTCATTTACTATTTGCATTTTCCTCTCATCCGAGTAACGTAATTCATCCAGTTCATAATAAATAAATGAAATCAATCGAACTCTATAATTAGATTAATCGCCTCAATTTTTCTGGTGTTATTCCGAAGAATTTCATGAATACTTACGTCTCTGAGGGGAAAGGTAATTTCGAGATTGGCAGAGAAGTTTTCTTGGAATTCAGGATACATGTCGAGAACATCCAAAAGATCTTCTCGAAGAATTTTGTGCAGATCACAATAAGTGAGTGCCCGCACATTGCAGCTTGATTTGCCAACACTCGTATGAATGCAGGGATTCTCACCAAAAATGTCATTTTTTCCTTTAAAAGAAATCACGTGATTAAAAAGTCAAATCATATTAAAACTCAATACTACTATTCAGAGAATAATAATGAAAAATATAAACTTTCAGTTTAGAAATATCAACTGAATAACACTAGGGAATGCATTTCATTCTGTTTTCTGCTGCATGATATTTTTTTAACGGATCTTGAATATTTTCACGTTGCTGATTTCAAATCTGCAATCGGTTTCCCTCTCCAAGCTACGATTATTTTAAGTGGCATTTTTAGTCTATCTTGTCAAATTGTATAAGCTTAAAAACGTTACATATGGCAGGGGGTCGCGATATACTCCAGAGAAGTTAGGGAACATCATCTGGTTTAAGACTGCATAGGAACCCATGCTCGAAAATCTCGTGACACGCCGCTAGGGATGCTTCGCTATTATGAAATGTTTCTTGGTGAGCAGGTCATAATAGGGAAACGTCTTTACTCTCTTAAAATAAAAGAGTTATTTCCCCTACTCAAAAAAGAGTTAAATTTTTTTAACTCAACTTGAGTGAAATACATTCTTATTTAAGCGAAATTCTTGCTTTGCATTAACTCAAACTTGAGTGGTATTTATTAAGCAATATTTGAGTGCTTTTAGCACAAACTTGAGTGATTTATTTATTATTTAATTGCGTGCGAGATTTAAGCTGGAATTTCTATCGTTTTATTTTAAAAAGCAAACGATAATAAATCTAAATAAAATTGTTATGTTCTGTGATCTAAATAGATTATGTCTTCGTTCTTATTTTACGTTTAATTTTTTTTCTGGAGAATATGTCATTTAATATTTTGAATTAAGAAGAATTAAAACAACTTTCAGTTCACAGCGATATTTCTGAAGAAGACGCTGTTTTACTTTTCAATAAGTAGATATACTCTGTTGTTTTTATTTTGAAAATACTTTTATTTTGAATGTGTTATATACACATTCCATTTAAATTAGCTGTTTTTCAGCGTTTTTTAATAAAATATACTATTCTTTTAAATTATTTGTCAAAAAAATTTATTAAAATTGAAAGTGTTAAATGTGGATGATTATGAAATATTAAAAAAATTTGATTCCCTGCTAGAATCTTTGTCAAAGCATGTGGGAATATATTATATCTGATAAGAGTTTTAGAATTTTTTCAGACTTCATATTAAAGTTTTAACATTTTATTTTAATATAATAAATTTATATCCATGTTTTAGTTTTTTTGATGTATAATTTTGGTACAAAACATTTCTGGATAATTAATTTCATATCATTCTATACTTCTTTTATAAAAGATATTTACGAAATTATTGTTCATACAGTCTATAATTGCTGTTATTTAAATTGCTTTCTATTAATAAAGTTGACTGTCTTTAATTTATGAAAGTTCACATCTGCAACATCCATTCATTCAAATCAGAATCTTCAGATGTTCAATGTATTTTATTATAAATATATCATTCAAAGAAAAAGTGGAAAATATTATATTTAAAAAAATTAAGCAGCATTTTGAATTTTTCTGTTTTTATCCTGTTTTTAGCTTTTATTTAATTGGAATTCAGAATCAATACTATCTTCTTATTTCATAAAGTATTTATCACATTATACAAACTATTTTTCCTTTGTTGCTAGCATAAAAGTTCTTACCACTTTTCTTCAAATTAAATTTTCGAGGTAAAATTGAAAATGTAGAATTAATATTTAATTAAAAGTACAATGCTAATTAAAGTATTTGAAAATGCAAATAAATTAGAATTTAACAATAGTTATAGATTAATTGTGAAAAAGTAGGAGCAAAATTAAAAGTAATATTTATTATGAGATATAGTTCAATTTGAATTTATATACCTATGTCCCAGCTGAAAATAAACTGTAGTTATTCTACAGAACTGAAGTAATTTCGTAGTTTTTCTAGAATTAACTGCAAATCTTCTGTAGTGCAATCTTAACTGTAAAAACACTGCAGTTATTTTGCAGCTAATGCGAAGTAATTTCTCAGCAATTTATTTCGAAAAAACTTTTAGCTACTGTCTACAAAATTACTGTAGTTTAAGTAAGGTCACTTTAAAATCATAAATTTAGAAAAAACTGAAACTTTAAATCCGTGGTCATTCTGCAGTAAATTTGAAGTAATTATGCAGTCATTGTTTCAGAAGTATTCTTTCTGATGAATCTGCAGAAAAACTGCAGTTACTTTGCATTGTTGTAAAATTGAAAGAGTTTGATGTCTTCAATCTTGCTTTCCTGGCTGGTATATTAAATTTTTATAATGTTTTCTCTTTTTGATTATATATTAATTTCTCACAATAAGGTAAAATTTCTAAACATATGTATTGATAACGGAAATAACTATCTATATTCATAATAGTCAAAATTCGTAAAATACGTACTTGATTTAATTATAATTATTTATGATTCAGAAGCGATACAATTTAATTAGTTTAAAATATGTCTAAAATTAGGTATTTAAATATTTCTGTATTTTAGTAATTTTATTAAAAATGTCATTTTCATTAATTTTTATTATTTATTTCTTTCTGACTTAAGAAAACTATGTTTGAGCAAAGTTTATGGTAAAAACAATATTAAAGTAAAGTCAAGTATTTAATGTTAATTAGTTATTTTTTTTATTCGAATTCATACTAAGCTAGGATTATTGCAGAACAAAAATTATACTTATTTTTTTCTAATCAAACAAATATATAGTTTGGATTTTAAACAAATTTATATCAAAAGAGTTTGCAAAATTGAGTTTGAAAAAGGGTATTTAATCCAGATTTTTTAGCTTCTAACGTCTTCTTCAAAAATTTATTAATTTCACTCAGTTTCAGAAATTTGTCTTAAAAAAATTTAGGCAATTTAAAACAATATACCGTTTTTATTGCTTGAAAATAAAGCTTTAAAATAAAGCAAATTAAACGAATAAATTTGTTCGAAAAAAAATAACTCATAGTATTTTCAATTGAACCGAAATGAGCATAATATTTATAAAATTGCTTACTTTAAAAATTCGTTTAGAGCTCCTCACTTTTAAAAATTAAACTTCAAAGAAAATTGACGTAACTTAGAGGAAAGAAAAAAAACTCAAATCTACAGTGGTTAGGAATTTTTCATAAAAAAACCCTCTTAAGTAATAATTCATTTAATTGTTGTTTTACCGTATACCATCAAAATAATTGGATAACCACAAAATGCTACTACTCAAACTGTTAACTCTGAAATTTTTTTTTAACTGTGTTTTCACCTTATTTGATTTAACAAATAAAAACTTTATCCTCGCCAGCAAGATCCAGCTCATGAAACTAATTAGTTCTTTGTAGCCGTCTTGACACAGGACTGTAGCCGAGATGGTTAATCGATCAATCTCACGACAGACGGAAAGCCAGTTCGAATCCCAGAATACGCAGTGTCGATATGCTCCCAGCGAAAACTTTCACAAGTACTATATTATCTAATTCGATATTTCTAATTCGATATTCAACAAACGTTATGATAAAAAAAATTCATATCTAAGGCTTTCTTTCAAAGGCAATTTTTTTTAAACGAAAGCTATAGTATTTTCTATCGCTTACGATAGATGGCACCACTAAATACAAAAATTTCGAATATTAACAGTAAAAATTTTGACTGCAATTTACAAACAGAAATACTGAAAATCGCTCAAACACGAGTTAAAATCACTCAAGTTTGAGTGAAAACTATTCACTCAGGTAATACTGAGAATCACTCAAACTCGAGTGAAAATAAGTCAAGTTTGAGTGAAATTTTTTTCTCTCAAATTGAGCTATTTCCATATAACTCTTTCACTTGAGTGATTTTAACTCAAGATGAGAAGACCGGTTTTATCTAGATGAAAGAGTTAAATAGCACTCAAGTTGAGTTATTTTCACTAGTTCATTTTAAGAGAGTAGGCACATACGACGACATTTCCGAGCATGAGTGCCTATGCAATTGTTGATGATGTGTCTTAACTTCCCTAGAAGTTTGTCACAAGTTTTATGTGACCCCCTGTTATACTTTTTGAACTTGAACATTTCGACAAATGTCATTTGAAATAAATTTATAGCTTTAAGAGCAAAACTAATTTCAAGTTTGAAATACCTACTCCCAAATTAGACAAGATCGGGTACTTCTATAAATGCAGCAACAAATTTATTACCCAGTGTAATTGATCTGATTTCTTTAACAACTAAGAATAAGTTTGAGCCACGATGGCTCAGTGGTTAACTCACTGAACTGCCAAAGTAAAAAGCTTTGGTTTGATCCTCTGTTGGTGAATTGATGCTCACCAAATTATAGATAGCTATTATGGTTATAGCCACGAAAGATAGCTATTATGGTTATTAAGTGATGTTTAAAGTGTGATTATATTGTGTAATGCACAAACTAATGTATTGTAACGTAACAACCAGGGTTGGAGTTTTTGCCGGCAAAAAGGGGTTTTTGCCAGGACAGTGGCAAAAACCTGGTAAAAACCGGCAAAAACTGGTAAAAACCGGCAAAAACCAAATTATCTAAATTGCTGATTAAATATTATTACAAAATACTTGAAACAAATTTAAATCAATCATAAGGAATAATAATTTTGATACATTACATGAAAAAATTATTTTTAACATATTAATAATTAATATAATGGTAATAATTTTTAAAAGATTGAAAGTTTGTGATCTCTTTTCATTTTAGAATCCTAAAATAAATGTTTTTTTACAAATAAATAAATATTATTATTTGTATAATATTATTATTTATTATAAAAAATTATTATTTGTACAATAATTAACTACACATGTTGATAGATATTTTATGCTTTAAATTATAGTTATATTAATTTAAAATAAGTTCATTTCACTGGAAAAAAGAGAATAATCACAAATTTTCCAATCAATAATGTTTTAAACTACTAAAATGATATATTATTACATTATCATTTAATTATGGAATAATAATTTTGTTAATTTTTTTGTAATTATTTATATTCATAGTATATATTTCAATTTTAGGAATAATTTTGTATCAAAAATGTGTTTTTGTCCTCTCATCTTGGAAAATATAGGTTTTTGCCACTTTTTGCCAATTTGCTTGGCAAAAACCTGTTTTTGCCAGGACGGTTTTTACCGGTATTTACCATGGTTTTTTCCACCTGTGGCAAAATCTTGCCAACCCTGGTAACAACTAATGTTTGTGATCTGTTTATAATCGTAATGTAAGAATTGCCCAAACAAAATGTTGTCACTGGGTTAGTAATCATTTTACTAATTAATCAGTTCCCATCAGTAAGAGCATTAAACTAAATATGAATTTGCATTAAAGTAAGACAGCTTCGAGAAAACAGAGAAGAGCTCAAGGAAGCGCACTAAAAAGAATGCACTAAAGGTGGGGATTATTGCAGATTGTATATAACTGATTAATCAATTTGCATTAGAATATTAAAGTAAATATGAGACCTAGTAAAAAGCAAAAGAGTACAACAAGAGTTAATGGAGGTGAATGTTGGAGACATTATTAATTGATCATTTCTAATTCTAGCATTAAAAATGAATATGAAGTGGAACTAAAAATAGGATGCGCGCAGAACATTACAGCGCACAGTATTACGCTGCTTAGTGATCTGATCGACTTTATCGTCAAACGTTTAGAACGAATTGCTGTTATTAAAAAGTGTATCAGTTTTCGAGAAAAGCGAAAATCAATATCAGATCTGTCATGAACATGGTGAACAAGCACAGCGATCTCCAAGGAATTTGCTTCTGCTGTAGATGAAATGTCTAGAGATAATCGAAGGCTTACGATTCTTGATAAATCTCTCCTTCACTAAGCCTAAGTAAAGAAACGATGCAATCATCATTTGGCACTAAAAATCGCACTCCGACATTCATTTATAACCCTGGATGATGGCGTTGTCATTTCACATGAGCATTGTATTTCTGAGAATGCTCACCTTACTTGCCTTTGGACAACCCTGATGTAATCAGAAACGGAAACCAAATGATTCTCATTTAGATATAATTGATGTATTTTGATTTTGATTTTGATTTTACTACAGACTCAATTAATTCATTTTACTTTTTTCGTAAGAAAACAGATAATTGAATGATTTTCGATGCATTAATTTCCAAATAATATAATTAAATATTAAAAAAAAAGGCATGAAACTTACAGAAAATTATATTGAAAACACAAAAATATCCTAAAAATAGATAATGAACAAATAATTAATGTATTTTAATACATTAATGCTTATATCTTACAGTAGCATAACTGTGAGAAAATAACTAAGCATTTATTTCCTGTAATATTGCATATTAAGTGAACATCATGGTTATTATAATTGGTGGTTATGGTTATTATGGTTATTAAACTTTTAATTATTAATTTAACTTTTAATTTTTAATTTAACTTTTAATTAAACTATAATGGTTATGGTTATTAAACTTTTAATTCGAAGTCTTTCATTTTGAATATTAATAAAAAAAATAAACTCTATAATAACACAGAATAATTTTAAGAAAGGATGATAAATAAATATTATTGGTAATTACTTTTTAAATAAAGAATACCGCATATTTTCTAATACAAGACAATTCGTGTATAAATCGAAGAGTGCACTTTTTTACTTAGAAATTTACCTACACATCAAAACAACTATCTATGTCAATGTAAAAAAATAATAAATAAATAAAAAAAAGTCATGCTTTGCTCGGAAATAAAAATGTACCCCTCTCTAGTAGTAAGGGTAGATCCAATAACTGTTGCACAGTGGGGAAAATTTCATGGGCCTTCCGTAATAATAATATCTCTTCAAATTGCCCTTTTTATGTGTTTCGCTTTCAATTTTCATATTTCGGTAATCCATTTCCACTTACTATTTTACGTATTTTCATGCTTTGTGTGTACGTTTCGCGATATATACTGATTACCGCTAATGCTCGACAAAATAAGAAGCACTTCGTTTGACGATGACCCCGTGGAATTTTTCAAAGTTAGTGATTCCGAAAATAAACCGACCTCTCAACTTCAGCTTTCGAAAATGTTCTAAAAATTCTTGACTTATATTAGAAAATATACTAAATAACGAGTTTACAGATAAATATCGAAAAACTTTCTTTATTAATTTTTTTAAGAGAATATTAATCATCCCAGTTTATTAATTGCGATTTTTCTGTACTGTAAAACTGCAAACGGCAAAACGGCAATCAATTTTTATTGATAAAGGGACAAAAGATGTGTATGTTAAATACATATTTCCTAGAATCTGATGCGATAAGATACTTATTGATTAAAAAATTCATTTTCTAAAAAATATATACATATTAGAAATAACACTCTACATGTTTTAAGCGCTCAAAAATAGGCACCCGTTTTCAAGACCTGCAGGACGTGAATGAGAAAATACAAAAATGCATGCTGCCAGAGAATTTAAATTAGAGGAATAACGAAAAGAGAAATAATACCTAAAATCGCCTGAATGGTGTCATCCCTCATGATCTCAATGGTCCCTCGAGAAATGAAGTAAAGTGATGTAAGTACATCCCCCCTATGCACCAAGGTATCACCAGGTGGTGCGTGTGTCGTTTTGAACTTCATGGATAGAGCTCTCAGACATCCGGGACTTGCTCCCTTAAAGGCGGGACATGTATTGAGCAGATTTCTGTTTAGATGCAAACAGATGTCAGCTTGGAGGCACTCCGGAAACCCTTTCAGTACCTGCAATCCAAAACAGAAATAAATAACAAAATTTGTTTATAGTATTCGAAATTATTTATTTTAAAAAGTTATTTATTATAAGAAGGAAAAAGTTCCGATCAAACTACCGTACTGACACTGTAGGATAATAATATTTCTGGTGTGTACGTGCGTATATATATATAGCACAATGAAAACAAAGAGAAAAACGAAACTAATTAATATATATAATAATTAATATGTATTGATATATTTTGCTTTGGCTATATTAATACAATATTAGAAAGCACTCCTTTTGCGGATATAATCGTGTGAGCTGATGAAGACATTATATCTTTTCTTAGTTTTGTTTTCCAAATTTAATTTTTTTTTTTTTTTTTTTTTTTTTTAAGGTGTTGAAAATTATGTTTTTTCAATACTTTTAAAAAATTATTGTTAATAATTTTCTTCTCTTGTCATTATTTTTTATTTTTTTCCATATTTTCTCAATTTCTTAACTTATATATATATTATTTTTTACAAAAATATAGGTACGNATAAACAGACACAGGAGTTAGTAAAAATAGCAAATTAATCTTATTTACCCCTCATAATTAAAGAATAAATATCCAAGTGACACAAAATCACCGAAGTGTTCCGCAATAAGAGATAAAGGAAAATCTTGGAAAATAAATCTGTGAAACGTCTTGTTTAAGGAAATAAGGGAAATCTTAATAATTATAATTAATCTATTAACTAGGTCGAGGAAAAATTTTCTTTCTCGCTAATAGTTAAAGGGTTAAACGTTAATTAATGCGTACTTGAACTAAAAATAAATTAAAAGGTCGATAAAATAAGAAAAAGATTTAAAGGAATAACATAAAAAGATTAATTGAAGCTTATTACGTTACACACACACAAATATATTTACTAAAAAAACTATCTGTATTTTATTTTATTTATTTTTTAGAATGAAAAAAAATATTGGATATTCCAATTATACTTAAAAATATTTTTACAAATTTTGGAGACTTCTAAATAATTTATTACAAGCTATTTTCGTTTAAAATTATTTTATTTATGAAAATCTAACTAAAAAATAAATAGATTGTATTTTTCTTTTTAGAAACCGGTAAATATGCATTCACTATAACCATTGCCAAAAAAATGGATTATCGAAGAAGAAAAAACGTACCATGTTCATATCGATTCCATTCGTGTAGGTCCAGGCATGTTGAAAATATTCTTCAAGCCTTTGACGAAGTGGATTGGGAATCTGATGAAACCTTATGAACTCCTTGACGCGTAGTAATTGTGTGTGATACCGCGCAGTACCTGAATACAATCGTTGGATGATTGCTGAAACATTACCGAATATACTGGCATACATGAGCGCTGAAAAGAAGAAGAAAAAAACACATTTATTTACCGGTCAGTTTGATTCTAATACATTATTTTTGCACTGTCAGAAATATCTCGGAAAATTGATTGGATAACACTTTATTTAATACTTATTTCCCGTTACTCAACCGAAACTGTCAAATAACCATAAAAGAAGACATTAGAACTGCTAACTGTGAGAAAAACTGTTTATTAACTGCTTTCAGACTTTTCATACGGTTAAACAGCCATAATTTTATCGGTGCCCACTAGACCCGTAGCCATTTAGAATCGATCGCATGTTCTCCGAAGCTGCAAGCTAAATCATTTTATACGAATTCATACTTTTATTTTCCATCATTAAATGTCAACAGTGAATGTTAAATAATTTTATAGAAATAAGTACTTGGTGAACACTTTTTCCAGCCACTTAGTAAATGCAACTAGATACGTAATTTATCCTGGAGAGCTTGATCTGTCAATATCATGACCGACCGAACACAACTCTATCACAACCAAACTCAAATGCCCATAACTTAATGAAAAGCCTCGCATAAACTAACTCAATGTTCATTCAAATCTCAATTTTACAGTTTTGAAACCATTCTAATAGTAAACAGAGACAAAACCGCTTAGTTCTGTATTTATGGTTTTTTAACCATATCATTTGTAAATTGTTCCACACCCGTGAAGGTAAAGAAATATTTCTAATTGTACAATTAACGGTTAATTGGATGGACTGATTTCTTCCTTTTATTTAACCATCAGTTTAGAATGGGAATTCTAACAGTGTGACCCTCTGAGCGTTTAACATCAGGATTTATTGATTTTGTAATTAATGCACAAATTCCTCGGTTAATGGCATATTTTTTTACTGCAGCAAGTAAGAACATTTAAATTTGTCGGGTGAAAAACTCCTGTAAGGTTTCAGTGTTTTATACTAAAATGTTTTGATCTAAAGGTAAAAATTAATAAAAACCACTGCATTATTGTTATTAATATTATGTTGTTAGTAATTATTTTGAGGTTTTATGCTGGAGCATTGAGATTTTCTTAATTATGTGAATTTTCCGTTTCAGATTTTAAAATTTTAATTAAATCTGATATCACTTTTCTTTTATTTTACTAAAATTTCTCGCGAGCTTTAAATATTTATTCATTATTGATGAGTGTTTGTTGAAAATGCATTATATTCAATCGAAATATACATAAGATTTGTTTGATATCACATATCACCCAATATTGTAGCATATAATCTTAAAACAAATTTAATAATTTTCAGTTAATAGTGTTATTTAAAATTAAAGAAGAAAATCAAATTAAATATATACATTGAGAACTTAGCTTCAATAATGTTTTTAGCTTTAATAAATTAATTGAGCGCATTTACAATTAGCCGTAAAAGATATGGTCTGATTTTAAAACTTAACGCTTGCTGAAAATGGAATACAATGGTCTCGTAGGACATTAATTTAATTTTATTAACTCTTATTTTTTACAGTCACACTTTCACTCTAGATATAAAAAATGAAAACTTAGGATGTAACGCGAAAATATAAAAACAAACTTTTTTTTTTCCCTCACTCGCTGATTTCGATAGTAATCATTGTTTCCTCATAAAAAAGAACACACTTTCATTTTCACACTTATGTATCCATTATGGTCTTGAGTTTTCGATGTTCGCGAAATTAAAGTGAAATTAGATTGTAGCTTGAATAGTAATTTTTTTTGAAGAAAACTTTCTTATGAAGATATATTTTAGCTTTATATCTTATGAATTGATTAAGTGAGTTGCTGCTTCTAATGCCACTTGCTAGCATCAGCAAACCTGCTTAGTGAAACTAAGCGAATTTGAAATAAATGGTGGTTTTCTGTGAAGTAATGGAGCAGTCTATGGCCACGAATACACTTCACTCACACACACTCTGCTTAAAAGGGAGGACCCATTCATTTATCCAAAGATCATACTTTTGACTTGAAACAGAGAACGATCAATCTCCAATTCTGTACCCCCAGAGGTTTTGATTTGATCTGATAACTTGGGGGACTTTATTATCCCACATATTTAACATGCACCAGTTAGTATTCGGGGAGTCATCGGCCGGTGGGGATCGAACTCGCGACCACTTGGACATGGGCCCAACGCTCCACCAACCAGACTATCTCAGCCCTCAATCGATTAAGTGTTCTCGTTATAACGCTCCAATCCCTTAACCGCTTCTCCTTATTTATTGTAATAACTATTTAGTTACCTGCATAAACCTGCAAAAGAACCAAATCTTATTCTTAATTAATTCTAGTTTTGCATTTATTGGTTGCCATGCTCTTAGAATGCAATGACTAGAAGAGATGGGACAGAAAGGCTCCCTATTCCCCCCCCTTCACTGTAAAAAATTTCGGATCAGGTGACTGTAAAAAATTCCGGTGCCTGTACTTTTTACCATAGAATCCATTTTTATCGAAACATGTTACAAAAAATCTCGTCTGTCGTAGTTTTTGCAATAATGATTACCGTAAAATCACTCTAATTATGTAAATACTATTGTGAAAACTATGGTACAATATTTAACAGTAAAATTAATTTTATGGATGGTGCACCCAAAGCGCTGATACTTTAAACTGCAATTTGATCCTGATGGATGGAGAAGGAAGGATGAGTAAGGGAGGATTTTATAACAGTTTTCACCAAATGTTAAAGCTCGCTTGAAATTTAACAATTTTTTAAAAAGTCTCTATTTGAATTTTTTTCTTCAAAAACAAAAAAATTATCTAATAATTTATTGTAAATTTAATTACACAAATATAGAGTGAAAAATTTTAATCTTAAAAGGGGCTGTTTTCCTTCATTTATAAAATGTGAGGGTGTTAAAGCCCCCTCAACCCCCGGGTTCCGGGGTCCCTGAGGTTATCCAATTAATTAACCTTCTGCGTACCAATAATAAATTATTCCAATTTGCCACTATGTTGCATTAAAATAATATATGTTCATTGTTCTATTCGTATTCTTAAGTCTCATATAGATAATTTCTCTCTTGATAAGTCGATTTCAGTGCCAAGCACTCAAAGGGCCAAATCCACATTACATTCAAAATATTATTTTAGAATAAAGAGTTAAATTCATACTTACATCCGACTAGCATGACGATGATGGCAAATATTTTCTCCATGTTGGTGTTGGGTGACACGTTTCCAAATCCAACGCTGGTAAGGCTTGAGAATGTGAAGTAAAGTGCTGTCACATACTTGGATTTGATGCTAGGTCCACCATGGGAGTTGTTGTAGTATTGGTGCGTCATGTTAGCAAGAGCGTCCAACCACCCAATCTTCGGTTCTTGTGTACCTCGTTCCGCGTTCGCAATAGCGTACCAAATGCAAGCTAACCAATGGGCAATCAACGCAAAAGTTGCCACCAACAGAAGAAGAACGGCGGCTCCATACTCCGAATAACGGTCGATTTTCCGGGCCACCCGCACTAGCCTCAATAGTCGGGCAGTTTTCAGGAGGCCGATCAGGGTTGTTGTCTGGTAGAAAAGAATAAAATATTCTAATTCTTTACAATCCCAATTTCAAAGCATACTATTGAAACCTACTGCAAACTGAAAAAATGCAGTATTGCAGCAATATAATCATTTGCAGAAGCAGTTACAGCTAACAAACTTATAAAAACTTTCACGAACAAATAATGAAAAAGTAATTGAATAAAAAAATTTATATGACTATCATTGTTGTTGTATTACTTCTAACTTAAATTATCAGCATTAATAATTGCAATTTTTTATTCAGCTTATTAACGTAAAATAGTGTTAACGAAAATTAATAATATTAGTAAAAATAAATTTTATTCAGCTTATTAATCCCAACAACTTTAGAAACGTCAACAAAAATTAATGGTAATAATGGAATAAATTTTATTCAATTTATTAATTCCTGAAACTTAAAAATGTTAACAAAAATTAAGGCGAGTAAAATTAAGTTTTATTCCACTTATTAATTCTTACAACTTGAAAAATAAGGGCGAAATTAATTTTAAAAGTGAAAATGAAAATTAATATTATAAGTCAAAATAAATTTTATTCATCTCAATAATTCCTAAAATTTTAAAAATGTTAGCGAAAATTAATAGTAGCAGGGAAAACAAATTTAAATCAGCTTATTCATTTCTACAACTGTAAAAATGGTAACGAAAATTAATAATAGATATAAAAATAAATTTTATTCAGCTTATTATTTCTCATAACGCTAAAACTTTTACTAAAATTATCAATACTATAACAATAATAAATTTTAACCAGTTCTTAATTTCAAATAATTTTAAATTCAGATAATTAATAAACTAAAGCTTTTAGTTGTAAAGAGGATAAATTTGATACACCTTAATAGTTCCTAAAAACCTGAAACTTTTATCTCAAATAATCATTTTGATAAAATTGGTATTCTCAAAAATTATTTGATAATTTTAAAAACTTAAAAATAATTCTTTATAGGGTACAAACAGTTTTTCTTATTATCTTTCCAAACAAAACAGTAAATTTCATTTTGCCAACCCCTTATTAATTGAATTTTGACGGCTATTGGTTCTTCCTATCAATTAACCAAAATTATTTTCTACTAGGCAGAACAGATTTTTTTCCAACTTACTAATACCTATAAATACAGAAATAATAAAATTTCAAATATGTATTCACTTCTTTTAAATAGCAAACTGAGGAAGATATCAGCATCAAAAAAAATTGGTTCAGAAAAATTCAGATTCTCCATTATTTAATTAGTATTAAAAATAAATTAATTTACTTTTACTTTACGTTTTATAATAGCTGAAAATAAACCACAACCACATTATTAAACGTATTTCTGACTGCTTATATATATTATTTGTTTGGTTAGAAATTAAAAATACCTATTGTTTATTACTTTTTCATGATTGCAAAATACTATATCTAGAACAATTATTGCTCTTATTGAGCTTGTGTATCATGAAATATGAGAATATTTGTCTTTTAACGTCTTTTTATCAAACTAATAAATGAGATATGGAGGGAGAAAATCAAGGCTTTGATGTATAAATTGTTCAACCTGATTAATATTGATTATTATTGATTATTCATTGCCAAAAGATAAGTATCAATAAACGGTAGTTTTGGTATGTGGTATTTGATGCGATAATATTTTTGTAAGTAATGATTTCTAATATCTGCTTCGTTCGAAAGATAAAAATAACTGTAGTTACGAGTAAACTCTTAATTTATGCTTCAAAAATACTATTTTAATTTAAACGTTTTAAAATTTTGAGAAACTAGCTAGCGTGCTTAAAAATTTTTTAAATTGAAATGTGAACATACATTTCAAAGCTTCTGATATTTAAAAATTTTTTGCACTTATAAATTTTGTCTTGAGGACTTTGGAATCTATATCATTTCCATAGATTTATTCTTTTAAGACTGTTTTCAGTAATTATTAAATAGATTTTAAATAAATGAGCAATTTTGTTCTTAAATTAATGATTTGCTTAACTTAAACAAAGCAAATTAAAAATAAATAAAAAGAATGCAAATTTGAATTTTTGGTTATTGCAATTAGACAAAATTTTAATATATGAATTCAAATATATAATGAATATATTTTCCATTTATTCCTATAATTTTAATGTGTTTATTTGTCAAATAATACTTTAAACACACGTTTTATTCCCATTTGTAGTCTTTTAAACAATAAATATTTTCCTTAATAATGGAAAGTTTTGAATTTACATTTCCATTGCTTTAATTCATTTAATATCTTACGCAAAGTGATTTATTTCAAGTTTACTCTAGAAGCAGGAATTTTGAAAAAAATTTTTTTTTAAATAATATATAACAAATTGCTATAAATTATATATTATTATGTATAATTTATCCAAACAATTTATTTTAAAAATAAATAAATACTTGAACAAATTCTCAAAAGAAAAAGTAATTGTTCATAGTTCCAAATGCACATAAAATGATCCTAAATGCAAATATTTCTTCCCTTTACTTTAAAAATTTAAAATACATAAAAGTTTTCCTTTATTTAAAGGTTTTGGGTCTATTTTTTTATTTACTAATGAACATAAAAAGAAACCAACACGAGAATGTGTTAAAAGTCAAACATGGGAAGTACATTTCTCACGGATTGAATTTGATTACGTTTAGTTTCTTGTGTAGACTCGATTATTGCATTTTTGATACTAAGATTTGGCTATTATATTTATAAGTACCTGCTTTCAATGTAAGAAAATTATTGTTATTATAAATATAAGCTGTATTGTTTTATTCTATAAATTTTATTTTTTGTTTTTAATTTTTAATGAATTGGAATAAAGAAGAAAAAAATCATTAATCGAGCTTTCTGTTTTACCACAAAAATGATCTTTCAGAAGCACTTTTAGTTATTATTAACTAATCCAAATGCTAAACTATCTTTGCAGTTCAAAAAAATTCAGGCTTCTGCAAATATGGTTGTAAATACTGGAATACTATTGCAATATAACTTAAACAATTGGGCCACGAAAAACAATTGTAGTGCTAGAGTGTAGTGCAAAAAGTTTGAAGAATTATAAATCTTTTAAAGTTCTCTTTTTACAGATTTCTACAGGAAATTGAATATTTTAATTGAGGTATTGTAATTTCTTTTCTCGCATGAAGTCTTACTGATATTAGATAATTTTTTTAACGAGGAACACGTGAGGACTATCTTGTACTGAGTATGTTTGTACTATTATTTTACAAGTGTCGAATTTTTTTAAAGTTAAAAATTACTTAAGCGTTCTTTATATAACATCTGTAAATATTTTAATAATCGTTTTTATTTTGCACGCATGTAAAATAGTGCGAAAATATTTTAGCCTTACTAGTAGTTTAAGAACTAAAGTTTTATGCTGATCTTTCGAAGTTTTGATAAGTGTCGATGGGGCTATGCAAAATGTTTTTGTATTTTTCATGTAACCATGAACATGTTAAAGCTGTTGTTTTCTGAATTTCCACGAAATTATGCTTTACTTTTTCTGTTGTTAAAAATTATTTGTTGGGTAAAATATATTCGGTAAAAAAATATGTGTATATCCGTCTCTCCATTCTTTAAAGGGTTAAAAAAAACTACACACAACATGATGACTTTTTATTTACTTCGAATTCGATTAAATTGAAGAATTTTGAAATGACTAATGATGGAAATATTTTAAAGCATTAGGCTAATTTGCATATTCTCTGGCATCGAAGCTTTAATTCAACATGCTTTAAATAAAATTTTCTGAATAATGTTTACAGTACATTAAAAATAATTTTAATAGTATTTACACACACATTTAGACAGGAAAGGTTTTACTTGGAATTATTAGTTTTTATCAGTATAAGTCTAGCTTAAGCATAGCTTAGTATTGATCAAAATTTAAACATGAATTTTCGATCTAACTATGAAAATTTTTATCTTGATCTAGACTAATATTAGTCTATAATAGCTAGTATCACTGCATCTGACTACACAAATTTGCATGAATAAACACAAAACTCTAATAACTTTAGAAATATGTCTTACAACATACAAAATGTACTAAAGCATTCGGATAACAGAATAGAAATGTATTGTTTATAAATATTTTATTTCATTAAATATTCATGCTTCAAGTATTTAAAAAATAATTTATTACTTTTAAAAAAACTTTTATTTATTCTATCTTAATATCTATTTCATGCCTTGAATTTTCATGACTAAATAACTCTATTCAAACATTGTAATTTTTACTAAAACATGCAACATGCTATTTTATAGTTCTAACTTTAGTAAATTAATATATTATTCAATGTAGCAATATTTCATGAAATAACATGCTCTAATACTAAATGCTTTCAAGCTAGTTATAACTAAAAGCAAATGACTTAATCTTTAGGTATCTAAAACTAAGCACTGTACAAATTCGCGCACACATAGCTATAGTAAAACAACAAACTATCCAAAATGGAATAACTAAAATATTGATGTGAAATTATTTGAGAATTCGTTTGAATGTTTTTTTCGTTTAAAACGCTCAAATGTATTTAAACATATTTGTAGAAATTTAGAATTTGCTGAAATTTTACTTAATTGTATTTAGAAAAATTTAAGCTATTCCTTGTATCTGAGGGTATAAATTAATTTAGTAAATTAATATATATAGGGATTTTATATCTCTAACATTTAAAAAAATAAATGGTTTAGTAGACTCTAAATTATAAATAAAACGAATTATTTTTATACTATGCGAAAAGAGTATGGTCAAAACTACCAGAATGCGTGTTTCTGACTCCAAAATGCTCAATTTGTTTTCGAGTCTCTTTGGTAATGATTTTGGTAAAATTGACAATAAAATATGTTTTTATAATATGAGATAAAATCTGGCAATTTTATCATGATACCTTAAACCAGCACATAAAATCCATTTATTCGGTTAAATTTAATTTTCAGTTGTGTATTTTTTTACCTAATGTGTCGTAATATAGTTTTGAAAAACCGAATTCCCATTAAACTG